TGCTGGTCTGGTCCGTAGCGGGTCTCAGCGCACGCTAACATGTGCTCACGTCTTGCGAAATGGAGCCGGTGAGGACGCTAAAGCCGCCACGTTTTAGCGGCATTCAGGGGAAGCCTAAGTTGTCCAATGGAGACCTGAAATTCCTGTAGAGGGTCCCAACTCGACCGTGTAACCGCTGTATCTCCGGCAGAGGTTGAAGGAAGGACGGAAGTGTTGCTTGCGGAGAAGGAGTGACCCCAGGCAAACCGTTTGGTGGAGAAAGTTGAAGGAAGGTTGCTCTTTCCTGCCATTGGCTTTATTTGTTGTTTTCTTCTTTTCTTGCGTGCCTACCCTATTCGTGCCATTCTGCTCATTTGTGAGATACCCCTTTTTTCCCTCTTCTTCCTCACTGTCGTTTCGTTTCCCGACCGGTTCTACTTTCGAGGGATTACCAGGACGCGAGATACATCATCACCTGCCTTTTGTGGTCCCGCTCCCCGGTCGCCCATCGTGCCGACAGGAAGCAGGGCCTTTAACAACACCTGAGTGATCTTGTCCAGGCCCGGGGTCGTTTAGTTTCAGCCTCTGAAACGGTGAAGGCAGAGCCCGACTCACCACCTACTCATGAACCAGTACCAGCCACCGCGCCCCAGTGGCGGTAGCAACGGCGGCAGCGGCGCCTGGTTCTCGCCGGCAACTCCATCGGCGCGCTCAGCTCGCTCAAGAGAAGGCTGCCTGACATGCAAGTGAGTTGATCCTGACACGGTGCTCCCGATTGGTGGTGTAATGTGCCTTGATATTTCTCGCAAGAGTCCCACTATGGCCCTTGCTGGAGCTAGCAAACTGACATGTATTGCCCGTCAGGCGACGAAAGGTTAAGTGCGATGAGCAGCGGCCACGCTGCTCGCATTGTGAGCGGCTCAACATGGAGTGCAAGTGGCGGCCGATTGTGGGCTCGTCAAACCATAGTCATGGTCACAGTCTGGCATCACACCATATAGGCCATGGCATCAGCAACGGCCAAGGCCATAATACCGCCAACGGCATGCAACAGCAGTTGCAGCTGCCGGACCGGCCCGTGTCGGCCTTTCTATCGACCCTTGAGCGGCCACCATTCGACGATGCTGCCGGCAATGCATCCGGCAGCGTGGTCCCAGCAGAAAACGGGACCCGCTCTGACCATGACCGTAGCTTCTCGACATCGGTGACTGCATCGACGTCGTCCTCTTCGTCGCACCTACTAAGCACAGCAGACGGACCGAGCACGAATGGCATGCTCGTCCAACAACAGCAGCAGGAGCAACAGCAACAAGAACAACAGCCAACATCACAGCCACCACCTACTCATGCTGTCAACCAAGTTTTCGATTTTGCAAGCTTTATGTGGGATTCCGATGACGTTTGGCAGGATGTGCGACACCAGATGGGTGTGGGTGGGCTCATCGCCGACATGGGTGGAGTGCCGGGACTTACAGGGGCCACACTGAACCAAACCAATGGCACAGGCAGTACGACGACCGACGGAAACGACAACCTTATACAACACCAACAGAGGGCCACTGACATTCACGGGAACACGCCCACACAAGGTAGGCTTTCCCTGTCGCCACAGACGGTCGAAGCACCAGCCGTCGAAAACTACCGCCTGATGGACTACTTTATACACGCCGTTACGCCGCCCATTTTGGCCGAGGTCGAGACGCAGAAGAAGTGGCTGGTGATGCGCCACGTGCTTGTCGGCAGAGCCAACGTGTCATCCATGGTCCGTTGGGCCATTTTGGCATTTTCCAACTTTATGCTGGTACAGCGGGAGGGCGCATGGATGGCCAGTCGACAGAACCACTACGAAAACGCGCTGGCAGAGGTACTGGCCGCAATGGAAATGGCGGCCACGGCGGCCGTACTCCTGGATGGTGGCCAACGGCAAGACGACACGAATAGAAGTGGTAACGGGGCTGGGGCTAGTAATAGACATGGTAACAATGAGAACGTGCCTGGAACGTCAGGGACAACAGAATCTACGACGATATCAGCCGCGACAAACCATGGTATCACGACCGACAAGGGTGCATTTACAAACGGCCATGCCAGCGTCAACGTTGGCTACGCAGCAGCGGGAGTCGCTGCGCCAAACGACGCAAATAGCCTCAATCAAAACAAGAACGGGAACAGCAAACTTCATGGTCGGTTCCTGACAGGCAGTGCACAGGCGCGTGCGCCAGCCGCACAACCTGTGCTTTCCTTGGCAAGGTCGAGCGCCCACCGAGAAAACCTCCTGGCGACTCTCTTCTTCCTCAGCTACGTCGACATACTCGAGGGCCGTATCGATGCCGCACATGCCAACCTCAAACGTGCACACGATATTCTCAAGAGCAGTGAGAAGGGAGGCAAGTTCAGCGCAGTCGAGCGGCAGTTCTTGCTGTGGCTTCGACTACTCGACGGCCGTGCGGTATCGGCTGGCGGTGAAGGCCTCTTTTTGTCGACAGACGACGAGGGGATGCTGGCAGAGACGCCACCACCTGGCGCACTTGAGGCGGAACTCGGTCAGATGGACAGTGACGCTGATGGAGCTGCCAATGGTGGACCCGTCCGCACCATGGGCAGCACCGACGGGAAGATCGCCACGCCGACCGGCATCGAACCGCCGCAGGACGATATAGAAGACGTGCTGTTCCAGATCCTGTACCAGCCGGGCATCCTCTTTTTCCAAAAGGTGCAAAGCTTCATGGGTCGGATCTCGCGCATTGACCCGTGGCATCGGTCACGCGGTACAGTGGAGGACGAAATCGATGTCATGAACATTGGGGCGGCCATTGCCAAGGATTTGCGGACGCTTTATGATAACCGACCGATGTTAATGGACTATGCAGTGGCGGGCAAGCTGACGGCTGCACACGTGTCGGCCCATCTGGCGTTTGCCGTGACGCGGTCTTTCCGCACGTACCTCTGCAACTACTACGCGAGCAAAGTACACCTGCACCGTGTGGCCTATAAGACGCTGCCCCTAACCCAAGAGGCGACGGAAGCGCTGGCGCAGATCCGGCACCTGGCGCGTTTGTTGGTGGAGGCACTTGATGCCGAGGACGCGCTGCCCGCTAATATGCTGTGGCCGCTGCTCATGCTGGGTTCCGAAGAGCCTGACCCGGTGGAACGGGTGTGGATCCACACGCAGATTATGCGGATGCAGACGGTGGCCGGCAACTCGAAAATCACGGCGCAGGTGCTGGCAGAGCTGCAGGCCCGGCAGGATGCGGCGCAAGCACGGGTAGACATTCGGTCGGTCATGCACGCCATCTTCAATTCATGTTTTGCCATTGTGTGATCTATGTGACGAAAGAAAGGAAGCACAAAATTTGGGTTTTACAATAAATCAAACAACAAAGCAAGGCGCTTATTTGAACAAATGCTTGTTCACGGTCGTCAATGGCGGCTGGCCCGTCAGGACGTTGCGCACGTTTTCCATAGATAGACGCTCAAAGCCAATGTTTGTTTCGAGCGCACCACCCGCCGTGTGGCACGTCAGCGTTGCCTGTCGTGAGGCCACCAGACGCGGGTCGACATGGGGCTCGTCCTCAAACACGTCCAGCCCGACGGCGGCCAACTGGCCCGAGGCCAATGCGTCGACCACGGCGCCCGCATCCACGAGACCGCCGCGCGCAATGTTGACGAGCCGCGCGCCCTTCTTCATCTGCGCAATCCGTGTCGCGTCAATCAGCTTGCCGCCGCTGCCGGGCGCTGCCACCACGACGCAGTCGGCCGATCCCAGCATGGACTCGAGCGTCGGGTGGCGTTTGGCGCCACCGGCGGCAGCTTCTTGTTCGGCCGTCTTGGGGAACGGGTCATAATACTCGATGTGCATGCCCAAGGCGTGGGCGGCCTTGGTGGCGATGCGCTGGCCAATGTTGCCGAGGCCGACAATGCCGAGGACGTGGCCCTGCGGGTTGCGCGCTGTGTGTGGCACATTGTGGTGAGCGTCCAGGAACGTGGCGGTGTCGCCCGCGCGCGCGGCCATGTTGGACCACTGCATGTTGCGGAAGACAGAGATGATGTGGTACAGAGCCATGTCGGCGACGGCCTCGGACGACGCAGAGGCGCCGTTGCAGTACAAAATGCCGGCCGCGGCCAGCAGATCCACGTCGGCCCAGTCGTAGCCGGCGCCCGCTGACGCAAACACCTTGAGCGAGCCGGGTAGCAGCGGGATCAGCTCCTTGTCCCAGCGGCCCATCTCGCCGCCCGTGGACCAGAAGGGCCGCATAATGGCCTGGAAATCACCCCATTTGCGCGAGCGGAGGGCTTCGAGGAATGCCGGGCGCTGGCGGTCTGCGAGGGGCGGGTTGACGATGGTGAACTGCTGGGCTAGGCTTTCGTAAAGCTCGATGTTGTGGTGGACGGGGTCACCCAGGTGGAGGATGATGGGCTTGGACATAGTGGAGGCAGGACTGTGAAGATGGCAGGGGTGGACGAGGACCAGGACAGAGGAGACCGAGGAGGGCTCTCACATAGGAGAGACGAAATGTTCGTACAGACAAAAGACACGACGCGCAATGGAAGGGCACACGAATTGGGTAGACACATGCAGTTAAGGGTTATGCTTTGCGACGCCTAGGAAGCTCTTGGTCGCACAGTAGAAAGTTCGCAGAAAAGGCAGAAAACGATAATAGCAGACCAGCCGGTCGCAAATGTCATTGGCGTTGCACGTGCGGAGACAGTGGGGGAAGGAGGGACAGATGGATCTCGACATGACGTTCTCGAGTGATTCAAGCGATTCTGTCTTCTAAGCTGGGTCGATTACGAGCAAACACGGGGCGTGGAAGACAAAGTGGTAATACGTGGTGGTCGGCATCCGACGTTCGTCGGATACACTAGTCTAAAACAGGAAATTATGGCGGTATCATTGCGGTACCGGCCCCACTCGCATCCGCCAAGCGTGTAAGTTTGGGTCCACTTTTATCTGCCGACCTCAATCCTCGTCGACCTTCCACATCCAGCCTTGCATCTTTGGCCCTCACGTTCGCCCATCCTCATGCGTCGGCGTCCTTCACCTCGTCCATCCAAGGAATTGACTCTTGTGCGCCCTGCCGACCGACAGCCACTGCAGCGGCACGATTGGCCCAAGCCACAGCGGCAGCAACGGTTTTGCCCTGGACGAGACCCAGCGCGTAGGCGCCGATAAAGGTATCGCCGGCGGCGGTCGTGTCGACAACTGTGGTTTGGGCGGCGGGGACCAGGCCACTGTCCGTGTGTGTCGAAGCACTGGCGTGGTAGACCCCCGCGCCGCCGAGGGTGATGACCACATGCTGGACGCCCAGCTGCAGAAAGTGGCCAGCGACACGCGCCAGCTCGCTGTCCCGCCTGTCCGCTGCCGCATCAAGGTCGAGCGTGGCCCCACTGAGGAGCGAAGCCTCTGTCTCGTTGACGACGAGGTGGGTGATGCAGGCGTAGGCGTCGTCGGGTAGGTGCTCTGCAGGCGCAGCGTTGAGCAGCACCGGCACGCCTTGGCGGCGGGCGGTCTGCAGGACTTGGAGAACCGTAGACAGGGGGATCTCGAGTTGGAGAAGGAGGAGAGATGGCAGGCAGTCCTCGGGCGTCAATGGGAGAGACGTGGCGTAGTCTTGTGGTTGGAGTGTCGCATTTGCCTCGGCCGATAAAAGTATGCGGTTCTCGCCGCCGGCCGCATCGTCCACCAAGATGACGGCGATACCGGTGCCTTGGCCGGCGCGGACAACCACGCCAGACGTGTCGACGCCGACAGACGACAGCGCTGACGTCATCTTTCGCCCGTACACATCATCGCCCACAGCGCCGACCATGTACACAGCTGCGACGGCGCGAGCGGGTGCCGCTGCCGCTGTCGCATTCACGCCTCTGTTGGCAGGCGACCGCCGACCCAACTTGGCACAGGCAACGGCCTGGTTGGCGCCTTTGCCGCCGAGGCCGGTGCGGAACCCGTTGGCGGCCAGGGTCTCGCCGGCCACGGGCATGCGCGGGGCATAGGTGACTAGGTCGGCGTTGAGTGAGCCGATGACCATGATAGCGGGGTTTTGTATCTGGGTCTCGTGCGGGGGAGACCCGACGGGTGCGGTGCCGACGATTGGAGAAGCCATGGTGTGGGAGGCGGTGGGTTGCAGGGGTCTGCCGTGCCCTGTGGTGTGTTTATTTTACCAATTTCAAGGAGAAATCTACAAGAATTCTATGCTCGGCTTTATCTACGAGGTGTGAAGCGGTCGTAGTGAAGACGTCTGGAAGCGATCTCGCCGTGCGGAAGGAGAGACCTTCTCTTCGCAACGAGATAATTGTTCCTGCAAAGTAAAGAAATATGAGCCGAGTGCAGCAGTTAATACATAAACGGACCATGCAACGTACGGAATCTGAGGTCTTGTTGGCTCGCAAAGCGGACTCACCGATCGGTAATTAGTGAATTCGGCATAGTGCGGCTTCCTCAAGTCCACAGTGGAGTCCTCTTTTGCCAGCACTTAGCGTAACCGATCAAACAGGCTCGCGGCCGATGCTTTTGGTTTAGTGTCTGTCGCAGAGCCATTGTACGACAATGTGAAAGTGGTGGAATGCTGGGATCGGTGGATTCGAGACCGACGGCGTTCTTCCACCGGGTGACGCGACGTGGACTGGAGATAGTGAATGAGGCAGAGTAGGGTAAAGCTTAGGAAATGAGGGAGGGAGAACATAAAGCAAAAGAAGGCGAATGCTGAGAGGTCCGATGTAGGATAAGCGCTGGAGAGGAGACAGTAAACAAAATATTCCGGCCCTGTACGTCTATCTCTATGCTCTTTGTCAGAACATAGATGATATCACTTGACTGTCTTCCCACATTATCTCTCAATTCTCACATCTCTTTCCACAACGACTTCCTCCCTCCTTCTCCGAACCACCACCACAACAAACCACATACTCACACACACACACATAATGGGCTCCATCACTGCCAGTAGACCCTTCCCGCCGGGAATCCATGTGCCCAGCCTGACGTGGTTTCGAGACACGGCTGCGCAGGAGATTGACTGGGACGTACAGCGCACGCACTTCCAGTTCCTGGCCACGTCGGGTCTGCACGGCATCGTGATTGCTGGCACCAACGGCGAGGCGGTGACGCTGTCGCCGGACGAAAAGACGCAGCTTGTCCAGGAGGCGCGCGCGGCCGCCACGGCGGCCCAGTCGGACCTGGTGATTACGGTCGGCTGCGGGGGGCAGAGCACGCACCAGGTGCTTGCCGAGACCAAGGTGGCGGCGGCGGCGGGCGCCGACTTTGCGCTGGTGCTGGTGCCGAGCTACTTTCACTTTGCCATGACCGCGGCGGCGATTGTGGACTTTTTCGAGGCGCTGGCCTCGGCCGCGCCGCTGCCCGTGCTCATCTACAACTTCCCCGGCGTCGTGGCCGGGCTCGACGTCGACTCGGACATGCTCGCCCGCCTCGGCCGGCACCCCAACATTGTCGGCGTCAAGCTGACGTGCGGCGGCATTGCCAAGGTGGCGCGCGTGCGCGCAGAGTTTGCGCCCGAGGCGTTCTGCGCGCTCGCGGGCCAGAGCGACTGGCTGCTGCCGGCGCTGGCGGTCGGCAGCACGGGCGCCATCACGGGCGTGGCCAACCTGTACCCGCGGGTGTGCGTCGCCATCTACGACGCGTACCAACGGGGCGATGTAGCGGCCGCGGAGGCAATGCAGCTCCGGCTGGCGGCGATGGAGTGGGGGTTCGCCAAGGGCGGCATCAACGGCACCAAGTGGGTGGTGGCCTCGATTCGCGGCTACCCGCTGGCCAGCTGCCACTGCCGCCGGCCGTACCCGCCGTTCAGCGACAGCACGAAGCAGGAGTGGATTCAGGGTGTCGTGGGCCCGCTGGCCGCCGAGGAGGCCAAGCTGGTGGCTGCAGCGAAGAAGTAGGGCGCGGATCGATGGTACATGGATTTCACAGAATCAATAGACATTTGACATGGATGTTGTCTGAGCGGACGTGCTTGTACCTGCAGTCATTGTGTATTGTGTCCATAATGTGATCGTTCATCCATATATGATTATAGTTCTATAGTCTAGGCCGTGAACCGCCGCGTCTTACGCTACTACTGAAGCTCACCTTGCCCCTGAAAGACACCCTTCATGGGCCGCCCTGCTAGGAAACTGCGCAGGTTTTCTGCAATCAAATCCGTGCAGCCGTCGGGCCGTCCACCGGCAGCATGTGGCGAGATCAACAGGTTGGGCGTCGTCCACAATCGGCTGTCTGCCGGCAGAGGTTCTTGTTTGAACACATCCAGCGCCGCACCACCCAGCGTGCCAGCATCCAGCGCGTCTGCCAGCGCGTCCTCGTCCACCGAGATGCCACGACCGACGTTGACCACCCAGGCATGCGAGGGCAGCAGTGCCAGTCGCGCGGCGTTGAGTGCATCGCGCGTCGCCTCTGATCCGGGCAGGATCATCACCAGCGCATCGGTGTCGGGCAGCAGCCGCGGCAGCTGGTCGTCGCACAGCACCTCGACGCCCGCCCGCACGCCGGGTCGCCGCGCCACGCCGCGCACCTCGGCGCCAAACGCGTGCAGCAGCGGCGTCAGCTTGGCCGCAATGCCGCCAAAGCCCCAAACAAGCACCCGCGCGCCCCGCAGTGTCCGGAACTCGCCCGCCCGCGGGTAGGGCCCGCCCAGGCGTGCGGGCCACGTCTTTTGCAGCTGGCAGTCCCGCGCCTCGTAGAACCGCCGCGCGCCGTCCAGCAGCAGGCCAATGGTGTGCTCGGCGACGGTGGCGTCGTGGATGCCCGCGCCGACGGTGATGGTCACGCGACTGGTGTCGAAGCCGGCGTCGAGCACGTCGTTGGGGCCGGCCGCGAGTGCCTGCACCCATTTGAGGCGGGTCAGCCGGGCAGCGGCGTCGGCGAGGTTGGCCCGCGTGTTGATCCAGGTGACCAGGATGTCGGCGTCGAGGTGCTCGTCGGCAAAGGGGACGGCCACATTGTAGGGGCACAGCTCGACGGCAAAGCCGCGGAGGCTGTCCACGTCGAGCTCGAGGGACGTGGGATAGAGGAGCTTCATTGTAGGTGTGGGTGACGGGTGGTGGGACGACGGTGCCACGGCGAACGACTCGACGTGGGCGTCGAACGGGACTTTTGTCTGACGATATGAAATGGTTCCCTAGTCGGCACCCGTAGCGGATCACTGGCTCCTGGTTCAGAGAGCTACTTTTGGCATGCACCACTCACCCTTCCTTTGGCAGCAACCCCACGAAAGTTGTTTCTTTTTCTTTTTTACTCTTCACTTTCGAGGAAAACGGCGCCATCCCCGACCATTGTGGCCCTTCCCCGTACCCCAAGTCCCCGTCCTCGTCGGATGCTCCACGAACATGAGCCTAGTCTCGTCGGCAAGGCTAGTCTGCACACGCCAAGTCTGGCGTGCGTCGCTTTCTGGCAGCTGCATTTGCGTCTTTTTCATCCTTTTCATCCTGTGCGCAATTCCCCATCCTCGGTCTGGTCTGCGGCTCTTCACTTCCCCAGATTTCCGGGACTCATCCACGTTTTCTGATAGCGTTGTATTGGGTTGATGCTGCTGGCCGGCAGCACTGGAACGGTCGCCTCTAGCTCATGTCGTTTTCTGTTTAGTTTGACGTTTGGTGTCTTTTGTGCCCCTGTATTTTGTTGTTAATGTTGTGATATCCGAGCTCGTTGACTTTTTGTTTATCATTTTATCGACGTGGTTTCGTTCCCTTTTCCTTTTCTTCTCTTGTACGTTCTTATATGCCCGTTCCGTCCCGGGTTCCTGGTCCTTTCTGCGGCCTTTCATCGTCGGTCGATCCTTTTCTTTTCTTTCCCTATTTTTTTTGTATCCACCGCTTTCTGTTCTCGTATTTTCTGCCTGTCGTTTTTCTTCTTTTATTCACCCATCTCTCCTTGGACACACGTCAACATGACGACTGCCTACCAGTACGCCATCGGCGTCGCCCTCTTTGCCTCCATTGGCACATTTTTGTTTGTAAGTCGACTTCCCGCCTCGCCAAACGTCATCTGAACTGACATCCTTCCAGGGCTTCGACACGGGCATTGCCACCACCACCATCTCCCATGACAGCTGGAAAGACTACATGGGTCATCCGGGCGCTGGCCTGACCGGCGCTGTCGTCGCCGTTTTTATTGCCGGCGAGGCTCTCGGCTCCATCACGCAGTTTGTCCTCGGCGACCGTCTCGGCCGTCTCGGCTTTCTGCAGTTTCTGAGCGTCGTCGTCACCATTGGCGCCGCCATCCAGACCGGCGCCGTCAACATGGGCATGTTCCTCGCCGGCCGCGCCATCGCCGGGGTCGGCATCGGCGGCCTCGTGGCCAGCGTCCCCTTGTACCTGGTCGAGATCTCGGCGCCGTCGTACCGCGGCTTCATTGGCAGCATTTCCGGCTGTGGCATGACAGCCGGCATCATGGTCGCCAACTGGGTCGGCTACGCCTGCGCGCATGCGCCCTACGGCAGCCTGCAGTGGCGCCTGCCCCTGGGCCTGCAGATCCCCTGGGGCGTGCTGCTGTTTCTCGGCCTCGTCACGTTCATGCCCGACTCGCCGCGCATGCTGATCCGCAAGGGCCGCGTGGACGCCGCGCGCCGCGCGTTTGCCAAGATCCGCAAGGACCTGGTCTCGGACAGCGCGGTGGCCGACGAGTTCCGGCGGATGCAGGGCCAGATCGAGTATGAGATGGCGCGCGAGATCACGTCGTACCGGCAGGTCTTTGCACTGTATCGCCGCCGCGCGCTCGTGGCCATATCCATCCAGGTCATGACCAGCCTGACGGGCGTCAACGTCATCCAGTACTACCAAACCACGCTCTACAAAAGCCTGGGCATGGGCCCCATGACCATCCTGGCCCTCGCGGGCGTCTACGGCACCGTCTCGTTCCTGTGCAACTGCGCCACCACCTTCTGGCTCATCGACCAGTGGGGCCGCCGCAAGATGCTGCTGACGGGCATGGCCGGCATTGTCCTCGTCGAGATCTACACGGCCGAGATGCAGCGCGGCTTCGCCACCGGCACCAACCACGTCGGCCAGGGCTTTGCCATCCTGGGCATTTTTCTGTTTGCCGTCGTCTACTACAGCTTCCTGGGCAGCACCGTCTGGATCTACCCGCCCGAGATTTTGCCCCTCGAGATGCGCAACAAGGTCGTCGCCCTCGCCACGGCGTCCCACTTTATCGTCAACATTGGCATCACCGAGGCTGGCCCGACGGCCTTTAAAAACATCGCCGAGAACTACTACTACGTGTTTGTCGGCTGCACCATTGTCATGACCATCGTCGGCTATTTCTTTTACCCCGAGACCCGCAAGAAGTCGCTCGAGGAGATTGCCGGTGCCTTTGGCGACCAGGTCGTGACAGAGGTCGAGGACAAGACGGCTGGCCAGGTCGAGGCGGTCGAGGAGGTATAGGGTGTTTTGGAAAGGGCAGTGAGTAGAGATATCTGGAAACAAGACGGATGTAAACGACGTGCACACATACACGTATAGAAGCACAAGTTCCTGCCAGAGTGTTTCAGAACGTGCCACAATAGTTTTATACCTCCAAAGATTGGAACTCGTGTACACAATCAACGTGTTTTCCCACACCAGAAATATGTACAAATCCATGGTTTACCATCCCTCGGTCATTCCTATCCTCTAGCTTTAACCAAGAATCTCGTCGCTACATTTTTTTCGTTAGGCTCGCTTCTCTTATATCCACGTCACCATAGCCAAGATCTACTCACGTGTACGTGTCCTCGGGCATGCGGATGCCGTCGTTAATCGATACCCCCATCAGCCGACCGCCGTCGACCGTCAGCAGCGCGCAGTTCATGTACGCTCCCCCGGGGCTGGATAGCAACAGCACAGGCGCCACAATTTCTTCGGGACGGCCGGGCCGGCCCGCAGTACAGCGCTTGGCGGCACGCTCGGCCTGGTGGTTGATGTTGTACGAGTGCTTGCCGGCGGTGGTGCCCGTCATTTCAGAGGGAAAGATGCCGGGGCATATGGTGTTGACGCGGATGTTCATTCTGCAATGTTAGGGGTGTGCGTGGATGCGTGGAGGGCGTTCCGGGGACAGGATGCTGGAGGACTCACGGGTGAAGGCGGCCGGCGAGGAGTTTGGCGAGATGGACGGCTGTTGGTCAGACTGGATGCTCACGTCAATTGCAGGGACTGGGACGCACTGGCTGCTTTGGACACGCTGTAGGTCAGCGAGCCCATGCTGCGCTGGTTGGCAATGGCGGCGAGCGAGGCAATTACGCAGACATTGGGCGAAGCGGACTTGCGCAGGAGCGGGATGAAATTGACCGTCATAAAGTAGACGCCCATGACGTTGACTGGTCTGTTAGTATATGCGACCTCTCTCTGTGTTCGTTGCGGAGATACGGCTGGCTCACTCTGGTTACTCCGATCAAAGTCCTCCCTACGTCGAGTCAGTGACAGATCCTCAAGACCGTCAGCCTTCACTTCATCTTTTCTTGTGATGCAAAGCTTACTCTGTCAGACCGTTCATCAACAGATTCTGCACTTGTTCGGCTAAAACAATCATGTCAGCATCATTGTGTTCGTTCTCGTAAGAAGTACACATCCCATTCTCGCGCACCATTGTTGTGGTCTTTTGCCTGGACGCGCCACGGGCTGTTGACGCCCGCATTGTTAATCAGGGTGTCGATCTAGTTTGTCAGTCGTCAGTCGTCAGTCGTCAGCCGTCTTCCATTGTGAATCACGGTCGTCGATTGTTTGGCCTCGACGCACGTGGGACTCCTTGCCTGCCACGGCCGCCACAATGGCCTTGCAGCCCTCTTCTGTCTGGACATCGCCCTGGATGCTGCGCCGTTTGTCAGCAATACGTCAGGGAACAAGCCAAGCAGGCGAGGCTCTGGGAACCTACGTGTGAATGTCACCCCCAATCTGTTTGGCTGCCGTGTCCAACACTTCCTGCCGCCGTCCCGAAATGTAGACGCGCGCCCCGTTGACCGCAAAGGCCTCTGCAATGGCCTTGCCCAGGCCTGAACCGCCGCCGGTAATGACAACGACCTTGCCCTTGACGGAGAAAAGGTCTTCGACCTTGAACGAGATTTGCTGTTCTGCCATTCTGTGTGTGTGTGCGTGTATGTGTGTCTTTGGAGTCGATATTGCGGTCTCGATTTTGCGATCAATATAGCGTTCCTGTCGCAGTTACAGTTGTAGTATTGGACGGCTGTAAATGTTGTCGAGGTCACAATTCCGTGCTCACTCCGGAGAACGCGCCGGCACTCCAATATGATGTGTACGGTGCCTGCGAATCTTCTGCGACGTCGGCGTCTCCAAACCACGACAACCGCTGCCATCAATCGCGCCCCGCAGTCCAGAAGCAGCCAGTTGGCATTAGCTCCTGGCTCCTCCCCCCATTGCGAGACAGACCTGTTGAGCCCAAAGAAGCAAAACGTGACCGAGCGGAGGTAGGCTCCGTCTTGTTTAGTGCATCCGATCGGGTTTCTCCGCACGCTCGCGCTTTTGTTTTTGATTTCCCGGATGGTGGGGACGTGCGAGATGGACAAGGGGAGAAAGAACAATGGAATACGGCGGCGGGCAAGTCATGCGTCGGATGCAAAACAGAAACCGAACGCAAGCGTGGGCAAGGGTAGGCCAGGGCAAGAAAAATGTCGGCCTGTCACTCTCGCTCCACGATCTCTCTGTCATCACGCGACGGCTGTCTTTTTGGCCTGCTGCGGTCACCGGCGCTCGTTGTCGTACGTTGCATGCCTTGAACCGACGTCAAAGGTCAACTCCGGAGCCGCTGTTGTGCTGATGGGGGTTTTCCAGATATCCTAAAAACGACATATCCTAAAAGGCCACCTGAAGCAAGTCCCACGTCCAATGCTAGACAACTTACTTTCTTTTCTCTTTGCATAGTCAGACTTTGTCGACTGTTAATCTGTTCTTGAATCTCTCCCACGACCATTCCACACGCCCTCATCCCCTCCATGTTCCTCGACACCCATCATGGCGCAAAGTACAGACGTCATTGACCACCCCACGGTCATCGCGCTGACCGATGAGGAGCGCGACAGCGGCGTCATGAGCGACTCTAAACTCTATAACGCCATCGAGGCCTTCTTCACGGATGGTCTCGTCATTGTCGAGAATGCCATTGACGCCGCCATCATCGACAAGCTCAACAATCGCATGTTGCAAGACACCGAGCGCCTCCTGGCTGGCCAGGGCCACGTTCACTTCAAGTAGGTGGTTTTGCTTTGTCCTCGCTGGGCTCCCTCTCCTTTGCCCTTGCTGCACGCGTTCTCCGCTGACCGAGAAATAGCCATCTCAATGTCAACGCTGGCACAAAAGGCGCTGCCATCGGCGGCAACCTCTCTCAGGTCCCACCTCTTGAAAAGGACTACCTCTTCCCCGAAGTCTATGCCAACAAGCACGGCGCCCGCATCGTCTCCAACGTCCTCGGCCCCAGGCCCGAGGTCCACTTCATCCGCTCCAACACCCTGCTCGCCACCGGCGAGCGCCAGCTGGTGCACTCCGACATCCGCTTCGAGCATCCGGAGCACCCCTTTGCCATTGCCTTTAACACATGCCTGGTCGACGTCGGCCCCGAAAACGGCTCCACTGAACTCTGGCTTGGCACTCAAAACACCAACATCAAGGACCACCGCGAGCTCGGCGAGCCCATGATCGCCCCCGAGAAGCTCGAGGCTCGCCGCGCCGTGCGCCCGCCCATCTACCCGCGCATCAAGAAAGGCTCTATTGTCCTGCGTGACCTGCGTCTGTGGCACGCGGGAATGCCCAATCCCACCAGCAACGTGCGCATCATGCTGGCCATTGTGTACTATGCCGCGTGGTACAAGAACGGCGTCGAGACGCCGCTACCCGAGTCGCTGAAGCCGACGGTCGAGGGCCTTGAGACCTATGCCAATATCAAGATCGCCACCAAGTGGGTGCCGGACGAGGGCTACAACTACCTTGACATCAAGTTCAGCAACAACTTCAGCTCGACGCTGACGCCGTGGGTCTGGGACAAGATCAAGAACGTCAAGACCGTCAAGGGCTACTAAGCCAGCGGCAGGCCATTTGGGGATATACTATGTTTGTGGAAGACGAAACCAGGCAAAATATTTTGGTTAGAAAACTGCAACACGTCGTTTATGAACTGGTATTGGCGTGCCCAGCTACCTCTCTGAGCTGAGCTCCTCAAGGAGGACAGAAGTACCGGGGTAGCCGTGTGACTAAACGATGCAAGCAGAGTCCCTCAGCATGTTCCCACTTCTGTCTCCTTGACAGTTGGGGGCATTCCCTTGGCCCATTGTCAAATTGCCGTTGGATAACTCCACACTTGTGTAGAGAACCTCGTATATCTGACGGTGCCTTTATTTCTTAGCCGCATTCCATTTGTTTGCCACATGGCTCCAGACTGATATTGCGAAGAAAAGTAAAAGAAAATTCGGCAGTGTAAAATATCTAAGCAGAACCGGTACTGGTTGGGAACACGGCTCGGGAGTTTCTATGTTGTTTTGGAGGGCGGCTTGTCGTTGATGTGCGGTGTAGATTTGCTCGTCACTCTTCGAATCCTTCCAGAAGGAGTACTCAAGGGTGCATATTTCGGATACAGGGTTCTCCGAGGTTGCAAAGGCGAAGCCAGGGCAAGGCGCGCGCTCCTTGCAGGCGTAAGGTGAACCCCTTATAATCCTGCCGCGAAAATCAGCATCGAAGCCTATCTTGAGCCTGGATGCTCACAGTCGTGGTTGACATTAAAAGTAGAAAAAAGTGATGGCCGTTATTTTCCCTTTTCTGCGATATCAATGGTTAAATTTCAATCCTCCTTCGGCAGTATGGTTTCTCCCGTCGGGATATTAATCAATATAAAAAATTGTCGAGGCCGATTACATCCTAGAATATTTTCCGAACGCACGGTCTCTCGAACAGGAGACAGATAATACGCTGCGCCGTTCTGCTGTGGTTGCAGTCGGGTGGTTCGGGAGAGACATGCAAGAAATCATATACAACAAAAGGAAAACAAAGGGACAACAATGTTGAAGGCCTTTGGCGAAGGCTGGCTCAGAGGAAACAATGATGAAGCTCGCAAAACAATTTGGCAAGTAACCAACGAGGCAAATTGGAAACGAAACAGCGATTTTGTTGTCTTTCGTTCGGCCTGATAGCTGTATTATTGCCTGCACACGTGCCTTGGAGCATGCCTCACAAATGTCCGTGTGTCGCATTCCCCAGTGGATTGTTGCATCTTCAGTTTTGCCTTGTTCAAAGGAATTACCCGAGGCAGCGACTTTTGTTCTGTTTGCTGGCGTTCTCTACTGCCCGAGTCACATAATTGGTATGTCAGAAGGACTCCAGATCTCTGCCGCCGCGGACCTGCTCGGGACAATGATAAGTTGCCAAGGAAGTTCTTGAAGCTTCCAAATATCTTGGCACCCTGGCTCTGTGTCGCATCGCCTGCATCTCCGGCCGAACATGTCGATCAAACGGCCCCAAAAGCCAAGAAAAGGTTGGCATCGCGGTTGTCACGTTGTCAACCACGTTTGGAAGCTTCGTGGGCTTTGTGAAGTATTTCGAGTACTCGTAAGATGTGCGAAGCCGATCTGAAAGAACAATTCGAGAAGGATACTCTGTAGTCCGGCAATGTGCTCCTGGCAAAACATGCAGCCGCACCGGTATGAGACCAGAACGAAATCACCCAGAGGGGAATCAATCAAGTGCCTGCGGCACCTGCAGGACCTACAGAAGGGGCGTAAGCAGAAAAAGGTTGCGGCCACTACCCAAAGCCAATTGGCAACAGCATTGACAGCATAACGGTGTCTATGGGATAATGGGAGGCACAGAGGGAACAGCTCGTCTGCCGTCGTATTTTGATTGCCCTCGACTGGGGCAGGGTCTAGATATTTGGTCCGCTTCGGAGAATTAACTCGGCTTCTCGTTCGTTTGTTCTTGAAAGCCTACACACCCTTTGACGCTTAACCTTGCCTTGTTTTGTTCCTGACCCTGCCACAGTGCCTGTGTCAAAACTTGGAGGTGGTTTCGAAACGTTAGAACCAGGTGGCTGTCAAAAAAGTAGAAGAAATCGAAGAAACGGGACGTTGCAGAAGACCAACACGATTTGTCAGGCATGACATTCTGCGCCAGGTCGTAAAGTGTACGGGAAGGAACTCGAGTCAGACAAGTGGCCATAGAGCCGTTTCGTCGACGTGACCTGCACGATCCATGGATCGAGACCGCCACGACATCGTCGATTCAGGTTTGTTCGCTTCCTGCCCTGCAGCCTTGGTCAGGTTGTCACTCGATTTCTCAAGTGAAAGTCGCTGTTGTCGGATAGCAAGATGGAGTGTGTGCCAACCGAAAGAGGACCTGCATCTCTGTCAGTGCATACGGGGGTTAAAGCGGATAAGGGGAGCCTCCCTGGCGCCAGTAACTTGACACGGAGGCGCGGGGCGGAAGAGGCAGCATCCAGGCCCTGGTCGCTATGCCTGGCTCGGCGACGCGAGGCCTGGCCAGAAACCCCTGTAGCGGTGGACCAGAAGGGAGTCGAACAACCTAGTCGGCCCCATCATCTACAGGACCAGCCTTACGGCAACGCAACGCAACCAACCATTCCGACTCATCCTAGCGCGAAAACAGCCTTCGGGAGCTTGCCAACCCTGCTCTTCCGCTCTCCACAGCATTGCGACATGTTCTCTGCAGCTTCTTTGATGGATCTCTGATCGTCACGGATACTCGGGTATCCTGGTGCTTCAAGGGTGGGTTGCGGTCCGTTGCCGGATATCTGTATGAGTGTTGTTGTGTGGGGTGCGCATATGGCATTTGGTACATGCATAGCTCAGAAAAATAAACTTTAGTAGGTGAATGAAAAGTTTCGAAGGGGGCAAACAACAATTGCGCAGAATGTAGGATGGGGACGTCTTACAAAGGGAAGGCAGCAGGCGACAGCAGCGGTCGGGATCTACCTTCCCCGGCTGGGGACCTTCACTCTTGCTCTTTTATCAACAAGCACAGAATTCGCGCCACTTTGTGCGAGGCTTCCCGTGTGCAGCACAGGCCTACGTCGAATGTACCTTCCTTCCCTAGCGACTTCCACTCCAGCTGCTGTAGACCTCAGCCATGACGCCGATGGCCCCTTCCGCATCTTGTCACTTTCCTCATATTCCCAACTTCGCATCCGCTCCTTCCGTCTGCATCGCCAAGAAATTCTTCTCAACGGAAGCTGCAAATCCCCGCTTGTCATACACCTTCCCACCTTGGAAGCCATTGAGTAAACATTGGGGAACCGTCGTGGCTTCCCTTTACAACACAACTAAAGCACCTTGACAGTGGCCAGCACAAATATTCCTGAAAAGATCTCACCCGCATCTTCTCATCGTTCCTCTCGTGCCTCACCTCCCTTGTGTCCAATCCACCCCCCGTGGAGCCAACGTCCCCCACCCCCTGATGCTGGCAATTTCTTGTGTCTGCACAACCACCTGCAGCTGCTGTGCAATGTACGGACTCGTTTACTTGCTCGAGGTTTAAGACACCACGGCTCGCTCCCAGACCAGCCTATTGGCGACAGAACACGCGAACGAAAAGCACATCCACAGCCAAGCAAGATAGAGAAAGGAAACGGGATACAAGACGTGAAAGGTTCCCTAGGCACGCGGCCCCCCCGTGGACTCAGCGCACGCCGTAAGATTTCTTCGATCAAACAACTGCATCCATGCCAAACATCCCTCACTTCGACACATACCGATATACGTTCTAGGCCGATATCTGCATCTCCTCGACTCGCACCAGGCGCTGGCGTCGTCACCCCCTGAGGGACAGTACCGGATGATTTCCGAGGATATTGATTTGTGGTGTCAGTGGATACGTTTCCTCTTTCTGCGATCGGTTGTTTTCGTCCTCCTCACCAATATCGTTGTTTGTGCTTGTGGTTTATTTTGTGCCATTGTGTTATGCTTTTGATTTGTTTTCCTACCTTCTCCTTCTCCTCTGTCTTTCACTCTTCTCCCACCCTGGTTGTGTTGCATGGCACTTTATCTCGCTGTGCTGGCCTGCCACACCCCCCTTAGTACCACCAATCTTTAATAACCCGCATACTCGGCAACATGTTTCCACATCTGTTCCCTTGCGAGCTGTTTTGATTGCCACCCTCTTCGATACATCGTCTGTCTCTTGACCTTGCTTATACCCCATACTTTTCGGTCCCCTTAATAACTTTACTGTTTTCACCTTCCACTCACCCGCTATCTTTTGCTATCACCTCGCCGTCTCGAGCTCTGGACCACGGCCCCCGGTCATCAGCTCCCACCTTTGTTCCCCTGTCTTACATTTTCCATGCAATTTGCTCGCCGCAGATTGTCTGGCGGCTTTGCTCACTTCCACCAGTTCAAGTCATATATGTGACCGATATATCGACAAGCACGGTTGCAACGCCGTGGAAACACTCTTGGAAGGGGGCACGGCAAGCTGCAGACTTCAGGAACCCACGATAGGTGTTCATAAACAAACACACGACAACTCATTTTCCATCATTTGTGGCAAGTTTATCAAGACGTCACTGATCGAAACGACATCAAGCGCCTGCAAGCCACAACGACAGCGCATGTAACTAAGGACTCTGCGGACGGCGGCGTACAAAGGCGGAAAATAAAAGGTCTCAATTCAATCTTTCCTTGGGTAAAAACACAGCAGTGCCGAAGACACACCAAAGTTACGCAGTAAACATTCCGCCCGCCAATACACGCCGAACTTAATCCAAGAGCCTTCGATCATCCGTATTTGCGTCTATGAACTTCAGACCATTTCTGTGCTTTTGGTATCCCCTCTGCAGTCCTGACAAGCACTGTGAGGTGGCTCATCTTGACACCATCACAGACCTGTGCAACAGTTTTCTTTCCCGGCCCTCGTGCCCACCTACAGTGGTGCGGCGAGAGCAACAAGGACTTGCATCAGCATGAGCTTGACCACATGCCCCAGGGCGACAGACCAACGTTGCACCCCATCATCGTCAACGCAGCCGATCCACCTCGCCAGCACTGCATCACAACCGCCATTTGATCCGGCCACAGCCTCGCATCCACCGCCCACTGTGTTAGCGACAGTGTATCAGAACCCATCACGAGAACATCGGTCTCCGTATCCGGCAGATGGCCCGGCGACTCGACCGCAAGTGTATCCGGAAAATAAAAATGCGGCACGGTACGCCTCTGAGAGCCCAGACAATGATTTTGATTATTCACAATCAAAACGCCCTCATCTCTCCGCTTCATATTCAGCTGGAGGCAGCTATCCCACAACGTTACCGCCACCGCCAACTTTGCCATTACCATCCATCATACCGTCTGGTCCAATGCTATCATCAACTCCCCAGTTGCCACCTCTTCCGCTACCACCACCAATTTCCCAGATGGCTGGTTCGTTAAGGCGACTTAGCTCCTCGCAACAATCCATGGGAAGCCGCCCTCCCACTGCAAGCAGCAACCGCCGCATGTCTCCGATTGGGAGTGGAGTTGGAGGGGGCGGACTCCTAGCATACTCCTCAAGTCGAAAAAACAGCAACAACGATCCCGTGCCCAGCCGTCCGCCAACATCACACAGTCGAAAGAGCAGCCAGTCCAGCATTCAGCTCGGCGGAGGCACCTCGCAAGGACGCAGAGGAAGTGGAAGTCTCAAAAACAATGCAACATTCGTTAAAGGAGAGGCCGCATCAGGCTATGTGATCTCACCTTCTGCATCGAAAATGTCTCCGTCGCCATCCACCTCCGTACCTGCGGTCGCTACGGCACCGAACAAGTCAAGACGAGTCCGTACCGGATGCTTGACATGTCGAGAACGGCATCTGAAATGCGATGAAGGAACGCCAGACTGTCTCAACTGCCGCAAGGGAAATCGGGAGTGCAAGCGTGGCTTACGGTTAAACTTCATCGACATCCAAACCAAGTCTATACCTTTTGTTCCGCCGACAACCGAATGGAATAGTACGTAGAGTTTGTGTCATGCATTTGATACAACACAATATATGCTAACAGATTTCCGCAGTTTCATTTTATGATGAGTCTCGCCAAATCGCCTCGGAATATGCGGGCGGTCTTGGTCGCTATCCTCGAGTTAAAGGAGTGAATTTGACATCACCACCGCAATTACCCATCGAGAGGACCTCTACCGTCAAGAGACGACGGTCAACTACCACTGTTCAAACGCAGGCTGGTAATATTAACTTTTCCACCGCTTCCTCCACAGTACGCCCTTCCACACAATTCCATCCTGTGAACACACATACAGTACAGAGCCTACCAGACGACAGTCAAAACATCTCCGGCAGCCACAGTGCCGCAGCAGTCACATCCAGCCACGGCCAAAGTAGGCTTGCAGCTCCCGCCAACACCGACGCGTATGTCTCATATCTTACCCAAGAAGAGCCCGGAGAAGAAAAGCACGCATACGAAGCCAGCGATGCTTCGAGTATTGCCTCGTCCATGGTGCCACAAGGAATCGGGGGTCCGTCTTCCGTCGCTTCTTTCCAAGCCGAAGTGGGGAACAGCCCTGAGGACGAGAATCCAAGAGTGACGGTCAGGCATGGAGGCGGTATCGGACATGCCAGCCATCTCCACGGCACAATGCCAGAAGGCTTGCCGACACCACCATCCGAAAAATCAGGATTTCGCAGGGGGAGCGGAGGAGCTGGCGGCGTTGGAGGGGCAGTCGCAGCGGTGGTACCCGGCTCTGGCCAAGGCGGTGCAGCCGGTGGGTTCGAGGACATCTACAACATCACCGGAGCAGCCAGCAGCAACGGTGAGCGAGAATATCTCAACTCTCCAGACGAGGTACTGTATATGCAAGTATTTATCGACGAGGTAGGCGTGTGGATGGACTCGCTAGACCGGGACAAACACTTCAGCCGGATCATCCCCTTTGTGGCACTCAAGTCACCAATGATGCTGAACGCATTTCTTGCTTGTGGTGTCAAGCATCTCACGCTCGTGAATGAGGCCTACAAGGACGACAAAGCTTTGTTTTACTATGACACAGCAACAACACAACTCCTCCGAAGCCTGCAAAATCCGGACCGCGACATTGTCGAGTGTGCTACCACCGCCGTTGTGCTCAATGTCTATGAGATCATGAGCGAGAAGCCTAACGAACGAATGAGCCATATTGCTGGCGCCCGTGCACTTATCCGTGAATGCGGGTGGGATGCTCGGAGCAAAGGCATTGGTGCCGCATGCTTCTGGCTCAATATTGGCATGGAGGTGCTGAGCTGCCTTGCATTTAATTGGCCGACAGCATGGGATCCGGATCAATGGGGGCTCGATACATCATTTGCAAACGACCTCGGTGACAACAACAGCGAAGCGAACAAAGGCCAGGATCGTCGCAATAGCCAACATCAGGATGGTAAGATGACGCAAGAAGCGCAAGAGGAGAGCACTGCCAGCAGCCGAAAACCACACCAAGATGCAGACACGGCCACATCAAAAGAACTCACCACCACTGCCGCGTCGTTGTCTGCAATGTCGAGCAGCGGCGACGAAGAGATGTGGGTTCATCGGATATTTTATATTGTGGCAAAAATCGCCAACTTTCGTGCTGGTGTTGCCGTATTTCCCCAAGAACCCTCGCCCATCGATCATCAAGTCCATATGCAGAACCGATTCGAGGAGTGGAAGCGGCTCAAGCGGCTGTGTGCCATATGGAACCGCGACTGTCCTCGGTCGATGCGGCCGTTCAGCTATCTGTTCCCTTCGCAGAGTACGGCTCCAGCCTCCATCTTTCCCAATATCTGGTACGAGACCTATCCCACTTCCCTCGCCGAAACTACCTATACATAGGGATTGATAAGCTAATGGAGTAATTGCAGGCTCATCAAACGTATTGCCGTCATCGGCCGTCTGTTCTACCACACAGCCATGGTCCTGCTTCACCAGGTCAATCCAGAAGAGCCAAAAGTTACCATTGAAAACCAAGAGGCCCAGCGCCACCACGCCCACCAAGTATGCGGTATTGTAGCCCATACGAAAGACCGGGGGGTGGCCAGTGTGGCAATCCGGAGCCTGGCTATCTCCGCCCATGTACTTCGAGACCCTCGTGAACAAGACGAGGTGTACATGCTTCTGAAAAAGATCACAGCAGAGACTGGATGGCGCATTGGTAGAATTTATACGGAACTCCAGCAGGCATGGGGCCGTGGTATGAACGATATACCGGGTTATCGTCCACAAGCCACAGTGTCAGCAGGAGCTTCCTCCTCGCCTTCAACACTTCTTCCACCGCCAATGGATCTGCCACAGCCAGCTACAATGCTTCCACATAGCTTTGGCCAGCCCGGCCTCGGCCCTGGACAAACCGGCGGTCTTGACTCTAGTATTTCTTCACAGGTACTTCATAAGGTCGAATTTAATCCCACTAGCCTGTCCTTGGCATCATCCTCCGGTGGCGGCCGGAGGTCTCTGCCAGTGTGGCCGACGGCGAATGCTTCGATGCTGTTCAATGTGCATCATCGCCATTCGCACAGTGCAGCGTCAACAGCGGTATCGTCAACACACTCCCCACCTCCCACAAGTGCACGCATGCCGTTCCGACCGCACCATACGATGAATCCTCTCATTCACGCCGATTTCAGCCTTCCTGACCACCCATATAAGGCTTTCTACAAACCACCCAATGATTCAGCACACTTCAACTCTCAGTCGTTCTGAATCATGAAGTCCTTATGATTGTTTTTTTTTGTTTTTTTTTGGTACCTTTTCGCCCATTTTTTTAGAATTTATTTCTTGCTTTACTAATTGCCAAACCGCAATCCCCTCCCATTCCACATCCGCTTTGAAAAGTCGCCAATACCTTGCTGGCATTCCTGTTTGTTCACTCAATAACCTACCTTCACATCTATTTGATACGGCCGATATCGTGACACGGGTTTTCACACGGATATACATGACCACTACATACATGGTCAAGATGCTTGAGCGCCGCTATGGACAGAGACCTAGAGTCAAGGATTTTTTGGATGGGTTTATCTTTGTAGGACTGCTTTGTGATTTGGTTCTGTTAGTCATTTTTCCTTTTTGAGGCAACCGTGTCCTCGTTTCTTTCTTGGTTTGCTCCTTCACTCTATCATATACGGCCGAAGTTTGGTTCGGGGGATTCCGGAGTGGTTGGTTTGCATTGAAAAATTGGGACAATAGGGATCCTTATCGTTTGGTTGGCACTATACCCTTTCATTTTTTTGGTTGACAATTCATCCATATGTTTTGACTCATTATTGAAAGTAAATCATTGCATTAATATCGTTGGTCTCATTTGGGCCTTTCCAAGGCACCGACTAGGCGATGTCTCCGCCGTCTATCATTCTATGAACCGGACTTTTCTATCTCCCCTGAGTTTAAACCATAGCCCTTGTATCATGATTCTGTGTATATATCAAGCAACCCCATCTCTATGTCGCAAACATCCTCACATATTGCACCACCCGAGATCGCTATGCAAACCGGGCTGCTCTTCCATAAATGTTTAGAGAAGGGCCGTCACGGTGAGGCGGCCAAAGTTTGGAACGACGTACTCTAGAGCAAGCTTAAACGGTCGTCTTCGGCGGGACAACAATGCCGTAGTGGGCATAAGGAAACGACTCAAGAGTAGGAAGGTACTGCGACCAGCCGTCCTCAATCTCGCCCGGGGGAGTGTCCGCACCGGCCTCGCCAGCCTCGCCAGTCGTGCCGGCAAGGACCTCGGGCTCACGGCCAGCATACTCGACCTTGAGGTCAGGGTGAGGAGCCCAGACGACACGCATACCAGCGCGACGGCCAGCCTCAACACCGGGGACGCTGTCCTCAAAGACCAGGCACTCCTCGGGGGTGATGGGCGGTTCACCGGGCGCGAGGGTGTCGTTGATGGTCTTGAGAGCGAGCAGGTAGATGTCCGGCAGAGGCTTGCCGCGGCCGGCGCCGATGCGAGGGTCGTCGCCGAGAACGCGGCGGGGCGACTCGAAGACGGAGAAGAGATCCGTCAGGTGGTCTGTCTTGAGGTGGAAGTTGACCGTCTGCGAGGAAGTGGCCAGGGCAATGTGCACGCGGTGGCCGGCGGGTGTGCCGTTGGTGCCGTTGGTGCTGGCGCCTTTCTTGGCGGTGTCCTTGGACTCCCAGTAGCGGGTGCTGTCAAGGGTGGCCAGCAGCTCCTCGACGCCGGGCAGGGGCTTAGCGTGGGGGAAGTTCTTGACTTGCTCGGCGGCGTTCTCCTTCTGGAACTGTTCGAGTGGGATGGGGAGCTGGGCCCAGGCCATGAAGATCTTATTGGACTCGGGCATGGGGCGGCCCTGCAGCCTCGCCTTAACAGACCACGGCATCTTAGGCCGGTTGTGGCGGGCGAGGATTGTGTTGATGCACTTGGTGTAGATGTCCTCGGTATCAAGGAGCAGGCCGTCCATGTCAAACAGGCAGGCCCGGACAGGGGGGAAGCTGGTGCAGTGTCAGTGATATGGTGCAAAGGTCCGGCTGCCAAGATACACATTGTACGACTTACTCAGTCTTCGGCGCCATGGTTGTTGGTGTCGTTGCGAGCTGTTGTGAGATTTTGAGAATCGCAAATTGCGAAGTGCGGCGACCAAAGTCTTGCAGTGTTGGGAAAAGACGGTTGCTGAGGTTGAGATTGGGAGGAAAAGAAAAAGTAGAATCCAAAGCCCAGAGATGTCGGGGGGGGGTATTTATATATAAACAAAAAGAGATGGGAAAATTGGGAGTGGACCTGCGCGGTGACAAGATAAACAGTCGCGGCCAATGACAAGATAATCTGAATGGGCATCCACGAGTCTGATGAAGAGAATGTGAGATATTCTAGATGGAAGACTGAGAAGAAACTGAGGCCAAGCCAGACAAGGGACCTGGATGTAGTCATTCCTGCGAAAAGGACTCGCCGTTTGCCTTTCAACGCCCCACTTAAAGTTTTTCTTTTCCTGTCGTTTCAGCGTGAGAAACGTGAACGATAAGCAAATGGCAGGAACGAAAGGCACCGAGGGGCAGAACAACAGGCAGGGGAGGCTCCTTCCTCGGAAGCTAGCTGTGTTAGCGCCATTGCCAGCACAACGTCAGTTGTACCTCACTCTTTGATAAACCCCGCCATCAGATGCTCGTCAAATAGCAACCAAATGTTAATCAACATGCAATCAACATATTCTCTTATCGCCATTATCATATTGTCAACTCCACCTCACGAGCAGCTCACTTAGCGATACAGACCAACGGGCACAGCTCCAAAATGGCGGAGGACGAGACAAAAGAGCGAACCAAGGGGGCAGAGCCAGACACCGATGGCAACAATGGCAACAATAGCAACAATAGCGTCGAGAATGCACCGGAAGACAACGAGGACGAGGAGGTTATCGAACGGTTCCCGCCGGATCAAGAAGCAGTATGTCTTTATGCATGTACCTTACTCCAACCATCATGACAATACTAACGCTCTCTTCTTCACGGCAGTCCCTTCTTGCAGAGGCCAACGAGCACAAGAAACAGGCCAATGAACTGTTCAAAACAAACCAGACAGATGCCGCCCTCACAGCCTACGAAACGGCCGTCTCGGTCCTTCCTTCCTACCTGTTCTACGACCTTGCCCTACTGCGGTCGAACATGGCTGCGTGCTACATCAAACTAGATGACTGGAAGCAGGCCAACCGCAGCGCCACAGAGGCACTCGAAGCTCTCGATAAAGAACAAAGGCGGATAGAGAAGGAGAAGGCCAATCCGAAGAAGGAAGAACCGACAGACGGAAACGGGGTCGAACAGGACGATGAAAGCGTCGAGGACGAGATCGTCAGTGAAGGTGCAAAGCTGGCTGCACGGCCGCCACCCCCTCCGAAAGAACCGACGCCGCCTCCGGCACCTGTCGGACCGACCGACCAAGATATCCTTCGCATCCGCTCCAAAATTTTGTTGCGTCGTGGCCGGGCACGCTCCGAGCTGGGTGGCTGGGCGAACTTGGCCGGTGCGGAGGAGGACTACAAGACGTTGTCCGCCATGCCGACGGGGACCCTTGGTGGTGCGGATCTGCAGCTAGTCAAGAAACAGCTTAAGGACCTCCCGGCACGGACAAAAGCGGCACAGGACGCGGAGATGGGCGATATGATGGGCAAGCTAAAGGAGGTGAGTTTCCCTAATCCCACTAGACCCATGCACAGGTGTCTCAGAGTGCTAATGAACAGCTTGGCAATGGTATCCTCAGGCCTTTTGGCATCAGCACCGACAACTTCCAGATGGTCAAGGACGAGAAGACAGGCGGTTACAGCATGAACTTTAGACAGAACCCGGGGTCGTGAACGGCGTTGGGGGTGCTGCACAAAATAAGCATAGGGAAGCAGTTTATTGCATTGGGATGAAGGATGGGAACACAAATGACGACTTGAACGACCATTAGGTACGCTCGAGAAGAGCATTGCCATAGACACAGTAGCCTGACACAAGGTTAACTTTTTATTAAGGGAAACAGTAGGTAGACACAGCCACAGGCACATACATTAATAGACTTCTATTTTTACTTCAAGAGTGGTCAATTGAAAACCAATTTAAATTTCGTCTATTTAAGATAGACTTCCAGAAAAGCACCTGGAGTCGACAATTGTATTTAATTGTATTCACTGATCAGGTTGCAGCCCAATACCACACGGCAGTTACTGGCTCTCACACGCCAAGTCCGACATTAAGATGTAAAGTGTAAATATCTTGTCATAGGTCTATTTTAACTTAAAGTCGGCGGATATTGTGGAAGATGCAAATCTGTTCTCGAACATAGTCAAATCACCATATAGCGCCGCCGTCCATTATGATTGGGCCGCACCTTCCCTCATTAGGGAAACGAGGCCAGTCACCGCGACTTCCCCAGTGGCGTCCGGACAGGCCTCAGACAAAAGGCAGCGCCAGCGCCAGGAAACGACAACTAGCGAGGGGATGGAAAGCACGACCCAGCCCGTAAGCCTACCCCTCCGGTTTTGGCCCCCACACCGTCTTTTCCCTTTTCATCCCACCCTCCGCTTTGGCTTTATTTCTCCCTCTTTTCTATCTCGTCTTCTTACACACACTCTTTTGCCGCTTGCCCAACCGGTCCACGCCTTGATCTTTGGCCGTTCTCTCGGGTCTTCGCTTGTGTCGTCTTGTGTTCAGTCTAAACTGCATGGCAAACACATCTCGACAGCCAATAGAGAAATCAGACACCATTCGCCCTCCGCCTTTCGAGACTGAAAGAATCAATCTTCGCCGTTCGTCAGTTTCCCGTCTGCTTGCTTCTTCTCGCACATCCAGCCTTCTGGATACGAACCAATCGCTTCAGACCCACGGCGGGCCGCAGAGTACGGAGGGGTGTAACGGGAGAATTGCAATACGGTAGCCGAGCTGTCCAGTGGGCCACCAACGGGTTGACCTGGGGAGGAAAAAACGAAAAGAAGACAGAAACCGGGGACGAGAAAACCGGGACGCAAGCCAGACCAAGCCAGGGCCAAGCAAAAGCGCCAGGGCAAGCGGGCTAGCCTCGCCCGATGCCGTTTTATCCCACCCATCCGCTCCCTTCTCATCGTTTTCTTTGGGAGTATCTTCTGAAGACATAGAAGGAATAAAAAAAGAAAGAAAAATACTCGCCTTTATTCGTCCCTGCGGCTGCATAAATCGGAAATTCTCCTTACTTTAGGGGTCCTCTCTTCCGCTCATTATTTAACCCCTCTGCCCTGACTACACCCCTCCCCCTGACCCGCACTTGGCTCGTTTTCCCGATTCGGGAAGCCTTGCATAGATGTGCGGCTGTGGATGCTGTCTCTGTTTTCTACCTGCATCTCATCGCATCTTACCAACCGTTTGGCCCCATTGCCCACCATAGGCACCCGCAGTGATAGCCACGCTCTCGTGTTTTCGCACACACGTCCACTTTGCATCCACTAAGACGCAGGCGCCGTCTTCGCGACTTCGCGTCTTCACCACACCCCCCTCTTCTCCCGCGCACACCCCAGTCTTCCTCGTGGCCAATCGTGCCTGTTCGTTCCCAGCCATTGACTCCTCTGCTCGTTTTCTTCTTTGGACGCCCGATTTAGCTGGTCCACCCTTGCAAAACCAACGACCAGCTTACGACTGTCAGAAGCACCTGCGCAGATCGCAAATCATCCCCGAAGGCTTGACGGAGGAAAACGTCAACGAGGAAAGGTGGGGGACTCTGCGCCAAACCCTTTCTCTTTGGCTGCTCAGGGTCCGCTCATCGGCCTATTTCGCCTTGTGGTTCGTGTCCTCGGTATGCAGACATGAGCGCCACGGGCCGTGTCCGGCTGCCCGACGCTCCTGCTCCAGGCATGTTCCAGGTGATCTCGCTTGGCGACGGCGGCAGCACCACCACCACCAACAACAATGGCAACCAGATTCGGGAATACAAACGTCGCCGGCCCCACAAGAAGACACGGTCGGGATGCTTGGGCTGCAAGCAGAGGCGAGTCAAGGTGCGTACTTACTAGGTTTCCTTGAATCCATGAGTCGTCATATCCCTTATCTTACCTTTCCCACCTGCTGTCTCCCCCACCCATCTTTATCCGCACTCCTGCACGCTATTGTATCACCTGTCTGTATTCCGTACAACTCATACTGGACCCAGCATGGCCTGTACTGACATGACTTCCTCCCAACGTGTAGTGTGACCAGGCTATACCAACCTGTCTACGATGTAGACGAAACCAGCGAGAATGTGTGTATGAAAGTGCCGAGGGCACCACTGCATCTGCATCTCGGACGGACGGCCGGCAGGCAGAGGGCGGCCAAAATGAGGCTACATCAGCCGCCAGAGCCAACAGACTCACAGCTATCCGTTCGGAGGCGAGGCGTGTTCCGCCCTCGCCGGAGGGCGGCAGCTTTTCCATTGGACCGGGACGCGCCGGCCATAACAGACACCACGCGTCAGGTAACGCCTTAGTACCATCTGGGACCACTCCACTGGTTCCCCCGCTCCGGCTCGTGCGGGTCCAGCCGTTTCAAGTCACTAGTCAAGAGCTTGGGACACCCTCGAATGAGCTCTTCTACCACTTCGAGGTGACGGGCAAGGATCTCTTTGGGATGCCCAACTTTATGGGGCCCATTCTCCCACTAGCACTGCAGTTCCCGCATCTTCGTGGCACCGCACTGGCCTCGGCCGCTGCACACCTTACCCATAAGGCGCCCGGCTTCAAAGCGTATCACATTGCCAAGCACTACCAGCAAACTATTGCATTGCAGAACTACCAGACGGCTCTCTCGACACCGTTTGCTGTGCAGGGCCAGCTCGGCGTTGACGTGCTGCTTATCACCGCCATGCTCATGAACATGTTGTCGTTCGTTATGCCCTTGGATGAAAATGAGGCCCATATTGTATGGGACGGCAGCATGCCTGGCCCTCCACCGCCGTGTGCCGATCCAGATCCCGACCCGCGCCGGTCATGGGTCTTCAGCCCGCACCCCAATCGCCTCGGCTGGTTGGCGCTGCAGATGGGCTTAACGCCGCTTCTCATTGCCACAGCACCGTGGCGTGAAAAAAGCCGGCTCCGTCTGCTGTTTGCCAACTCAGACGACGAACAGCGCACCCTGTCAGGCACGTGGCAGAGCCTTCGCCGGGTTCCGCAACCATGGCTGGACCTCTTTGGCTTACAGCGCGATGCGACGCCACGGCCAAACTTCCGGCGCGGCGGTGTCACCACACCGGCGTCAACTCCGACCCCGACCCCAACCTCTTCCATACCTCAACCTCACAATCAAACAGGTGACTACGCTGGCATGGACACCGACGGCAGGCCGCATGTCAAAACGCCACGGTCTGGGCGATCGACACCCGGTGCGGTTGGTAGCGGGCCCGGCACGCCAGGTAGTACTACGAGCACCAATACCACAACCACGACCGCATCCACGACGTCTTCCGGTGTCGAGGACACCATAAGTGAAGCCGATCGGTTATACCGCGCGCCACTGCGCGTCGTAGCGGAGCTCATACACATGCCGCCCAACGACCGCACGTTATTGCAGTACTTCCAGTTCATTGGACAGCTCGACAATGGGTTTCGCCAGAAGCTGCTCGACCGCGACGAAAAGGCACTGTGGCTATTTGGCATGTGGATGGGTCTACTGTGCCGGTTTAGCAACGTATGGTGGACGCGGCGGCGATCGCGGTGCGACTTCCGTGCCATCCGTCTATGGCTGCACCTGGTGGGTGTTGGCCAACGACCCGGTGTCGACGGCCAACTGTGGCGCACCTTGCTCCAGGACTTGGACAACACCTGGGGCTACCACTTTGATTCTGACCCCATCATGCGACGCATGTAGGCCACTCTCACTGTTTCGTTTTTTTCATCGACTTTTTATGACCGTTTTACTGGCACTGTTTTGCACGAATAACAAAGTGCGTTTTGATAGTTTTCTGATTTCATGTGGATATGACGATATTGGAAATGGAACATGTCGGCAAGGAAAAATATTTTCGATATGTATAGGCTGGCATTATTAAAACAACATATAATTGCAGATTATTATGAGACGTCTTCAAGCAAACCAGTCACGCACTTCTTCAGAGTAAGTTTTGTGTGATCCGTCCAACGGCAGTCAATGGGAAAACAAGACGTATTTTTTTGTAATAGGAACACGGCGAGAAAAGCATTCAACTTTGACAAAAGAAAAAAAAGGAGTCTATGGAAAAACGCATCTATTGCAACCGGCACACACATTCTCTTTTACTGCGTTGACCGCACAACCGAGTCAACGGCCTTGGCAAAGTACTCGACGTTGTTTGTGTTGAGGCCGGCCATGCTGATGCGGCCGTTCTTGGTCATATAGACGTGGAAGTCGGTCCGCAGCTTCTGGACCTGTGCCTCGCTCAGACCCGTAAACGAGAACATGCCAATCTGGTCGGTAATGTGGTTCCAGGTGCCCGGGGTGCCGAGCGCCTCGAGCTTGTCACGCAGTGCCTTGCGCATGCCAATAATACGGCCGGACATGGTGCGCAGGTTGTCCTCCCACTCGGCAAACAGGGCGGGGTCGTTGAGCACGGTGCTGGCGACGCGCGCGCCGTAGATGGGCGGGTTGGAGATCTCGGAGCGCTGCAGCACGGCGAGCTGCGACTTGACGCGGCTGACGGTGTCGACGACAGCCTCAGCCGTCAGGCGGCCGGCCTGCGCCGGGGGCGCGACATAGTGGAAGGCACCGGCGCGCTCGCCGTACAGACCAAAGTTCTTGGCAAACGACTGGGCGACGAGCAGCTCGAAGCCCTGTTCGACAAAATAGCGGACGGCGCTGGCGTCCCGGGCGAGGTCGCCCGAGGCGAAGCCCTGGTACGCGCAGTCGAAGAAGGGCAGGTGGCCGCGGCTCTTGATGACGGTGGCCAGCTCCTTCCACTGGGCCTCGGTGGGGTCGACGCCCGTGGGGTTGTGGGCGCAGGCGTGCAGCAGAATGACGGAGTGGGCGGGTGCGGCATGGATGGCGGCCTTCATGCCCTCAAAGTCGAGGCCCCGCGACTGCTTGTCGAAGTAGGGGTAGGTCAGGGTGGGGAGGCCGACATTGCCAAAGATTTGGCCGTGGTTGGCCCAGGTGGGGTTGGAGAAGTAGATGGAGCGGTTGCCGGTGTAGAACTTGGCGAGGAAGAGGGCGCCCAGATGGACGGCGCCGGTGCCAGAGATGGTCTGGATGGAGATGACGCGCTTCTCGGCGAGAGCCGGCGAGTCGGCGCCCAGGATCAGCTCGGCGGCCTTGGTGGTGAAGGTGTTCAAGCCGGCGATCGGCAGGTACTCGTGGTTGGTGTTTGGGTCATCGTGAATGATCGTCTCGGCCTGCAGGGCACATACGGGTTGCACAGGTTAGCACGTTCTTAGTCGTTGTGTGAATGTCGGAAAAGCAGAAGCTGCAAGCAAGACACAGCTGGGCATGTTTGCTGCACGGTAGTGGAGATGGAAAGGTAGCAGAGGCCCCAGAAATGTAGGCACGCGATATCAGCCTATATGCTAGCGCATGGAGGGGCGCGCCTTGCGCAACAGGGAAACTTTCCCTTTTCGGGGTATATCGGGGCTGGCTCGGGAGGAGATGTCCCAGGGACTGATGCGGGCATGAAATTGACGGGTTTCGGGGTTCTGGGTGATTGGGGTTGCAGGAAAGCAAAATGCAGGCCATTTGGAGGTCGAATGATGCAGTAGCTGGGTCCCTCCAACAAATGGCCTCACAGACAATGGTCACGGCCGGTTCCTGCCTGATTGGGAAGGGAGCTGTCCGCCACGAGGAAGGAGCGCATGCAGGAAAGCTTCCACTGCACGAGCACCAAAAAGCAAAGAAAATTGGAAACGTCGACCGAGAATGGATTGGTTGGGAAAGAAGGGGGATTGATAGTTACTAACCTTCTTGACAACGGGCAGAACCCACGGCTTGCCGTTGTTGTCACGATACGCACCAATGCCCTCGATCGTGTTAGCTGTGTCGCCAAAGCTACAGCGAGTTCATCAAAAGAAGGAAGAACACTCACCAGGTCAACCTTGTCGGAGCTCTCGTCCGCCCGGTAGGCGGCCATCAGGCCGAAGAGAGGATCCTCGGGGGCCTGCGGCACGATGTCGGCCGGGAAGCGCAAAGCGGAGTCTGCTGGTGTCGACATGATGTGCTTGGAGATTTGCTGAAGACGGGAGATGGCGGTAGAGGGAGGAGACGAGGTCGAAGAAGAGGCTGGAGAAGAAGAGGAGGAGGAATTGCGTGAAGACGACGACGCCGCCGAAAGGGCAAGAGGCTGCGGCGAGGGACGCATTTTTATGACTCGCAGACGCGGAAAGAGCTGCTGGCGAAAGTGCTGGTGGGGGAAGGGAAGTTGGGTGAGATGTGGGGCTGGACTTGCGCAGTTTTGCTGTTGTACCGGCTTGGTATCACTAAAATTCGTTTTGGGAGCGGCAGGCGTGCAGTAATAGTGGAGCGTATGGTGCGTAGGAGGGGGGAGTCGTCCGACACCCGCGATTGGGGATCAAGACAGAAGCCGTCCTCAGAAGGGAAGGCGGCGTGGAGCGCTGGCGCGATGGTAATTTAGGCCTGGAGCTCCGTTCGAAGGGAAGGCGCAGACTGGGGACTCCTAGCCTGTTTGTGGCGTGCGGAACCGGACCTGGGGAGAGGGACGGCCGGAGAAAGACTGCTGGGGTTTGGCGGCGAAAGTCCGTACTGGACTGTAATACGATGCGCCTTTATGCGTCGTGTGGCGCCACAAAGTGCTAACGGTTAGGAGGACCCGCGAAATCAACAGGCTCGTCCGGGTGGCCACGCGAAGAGGCGGGAAAATAGAAGAACACAAGGGTGACGAGAATTGATCAAATAAAATAGAACAAAAAGAAAGATGTGCGCAGCGAGACAAGGGTCGTGAAGCCGGCGGATCGTATTAGTCTTTACTGCAGACGACCATAAATCCTGACAGCGACGAAGAGCCGAAGGGAATATGCAGGACACAAAGCGCGCACGTAAAACGCTGTCGAAAGCAGAAGGACTATGTCGTACGTAAATGTAAACGAGGCGTGTCGGCAGATCAGCGAGCAAAATCGGCGACCTTGCGTAATAGGAGCCACTCTCTTTGAAGTCGTGATACGATGAATGGGTGCTGAGGAGGAAGATATAATATAAACGGAGGAAACTGTGTGTGCACGAGAGAGATTTAAAGGGGCTTTTGTGTTTAAACAGCCATCGATTCAGAAAACCGGCGACGACGGTTTATAAGAAGCCCGAATGCCTTGCGAATGTGATTGAGGTAATCGAGGCAGAACGGGGCACATGTGATGGGCCGCCGAGGCTATTATTTTGGTTGCCATTGAGGAGTCCCAGTGCTCAGCTGTGGGCTGCCGACAAAGAGGGTGCGCTTTCTCAGCAGTATGGGGCGGCGAAATTAGCGACAAATGGTGTGGAAATGGTGGATTCCTCACGGAACCTGGAGCACATGCCGATGGTGACGCCATGCGAGACATGAACTGTATGCGCGGCTTGCACCAAGCCATCTGGCTTGCCCCTGACGCCAGTGTCCAATAGAGCAAATGACGTCGCAAGTCAATGTTGCACCCACCACCCATGCCTTTGTCTCATGGAGAAGAGATGCCCTCTAATTTTACAATGCTGCTTTACCGTCCGCGATCAGGCTATACTTTTATTTGCATGGTAGTCCCGGGTCGGTGTTCTTTACTCTCTCGAATCTGTCGCCAATGCACCGTAGTTTTATCGCGTAAAGGAAATGCTCGCTTTTTGTAAGATTTATGCCACCAAACAAAGCCATAGAACGCCTTGGGATATCCATCCGTGTTCCTCTCATCGTCGATCGCCGCTGTCTGGTCCCCAAACCGTAGCTATTCATACGCAACGCCTGCTCCCCGGCTTGCCCTATACGAAAAAGTCCCACACGACAACAAACAAGCACAGGCCGCTAGCTGCGTAAAATGTGTATCGTGCCGTGCTCGGCCGATCGAGCGCCTTTTTTAATTCACGGTTGCCCTTGGCCACGTTCTCCGCGGTGGTGAAGGAGTCGGCCACCATCTGGTCCACGTGTGCCGACTGGATCTCCAGGTTGCCGACCAGCATGGTCTGCAGCTCCGAGATCTCAACAAGTGATTGTTCGGCGGCCCTGATTTGTTAGTATCCGTGCACATGATATCAGCATGCAAAGGAGCGAGACAGAGACAGGGAAGGAGAAACACGCACCGAACTTTGTCGAGGGTCGTCTCGTAATGCTTGAGCATGTCCTGGTTGCCGCGCTCAAACATTTGAATCTGCTCGGCAGTCAAATCGGCCTCTGCACCATCATTGTCGTTGCCGCCGCTTCGTCCCGGCGGCCCAGGGCGTGATGCATATGACGACGCCCCCCGCCACTGCGCCTCCTCCTCCAACGCCGCAGCCGACGCGGACACACCCCCGCTTCCTCGTGGCGCTGGATTCGTCGCACCCACCAGCAGCGCCTGCTGTTGACTCGCTGCCGTGGTCTCCACCACCATCCGCGCCAGCCGCGCCTCCATCATGGTTTGCTGCGCTCGTCCGCACGCCTGCAGTCGTTGTCGCAGGTACCACAGAACGCTCTCATGGTGCGCCGCCGCCTGTGTCTGCGCCTCTTCAGCTGCTGTCTGCTCGGGGGATTTTGGTGATGCGCCGAGCCCGACAAAGCGAAAAGACGGCCCCGCGTACTGTTTCCGGATCAGCGCCTGCTGCGTCTCTTGGTGCAGGGCCTCGGCATCGGCCAGTCCGCGGATGGACGCGTTGAGGTCGCGCAACAGGCGCTTCGCATTGGCGTCAATGTCTTCGCGCTCGGCGTCGGTGAGGGAGGTGGGTGCGGAGTGGTCGGCATTGTTGTGGGAGTGGTGGTGGTGGTGGTGAGAACGTCGCGGCGGTGCGGTCGAGAGGTAAGCTTGCCGGACGTCACCCAGCTGTTTGGAGAGGGTCGCAATGTGTTTGTTCTGAGAGCGTTAGCTTCGCAGAGGATATGCACCCGGTATGGTAAAAAGAACACGTACAATCCGGTAGGCCTCTTTGAGAAAGCCTTCCGTCTGCGCCGCGTTGAATTGCGGCTTCCGCGTCGTCGCGCCCTCTTTGCTTTTCAGCAGCTGGTCAAAGACCGGCGTCAGATCGAGTGCATACATTGAGCAAGCGCAATCGTTCGCCAGCTTGGTGGTATATTAGCCGTCAACTCCGGCTTCAATATCTGGTCAGCCGTGCAGTCTGTCGCAGCGCAAGTCGGTATAGTGTGCTTCGATGTGAAGCTCGCAATGGTGGCGTCGCAATCTGTATAGCACCGAGTCGTGAGGGGTAAGGTCTCTGAAAATCCACCAGTGTCAACGAACAGCGTATGTATCGTAGATTTCATGCGCTATGGTCGTCAAGGTGCCTTTTGTTGTCATCTGGTCGTCTGGTCGTTGGTCTATGACGTTGGACGTTGAAGAAGCCACGATTTAGCTGACCATAGCTTGGTGATTGGATGTGTGGACCGTAGCTGTGCCCAATGCGCAACTGTGGCTCACATGGGGCTGAAGCTCACTTTAAAAACGGTCCTTTCCCCTTTAGGAAGCCGTTGACCTCGGCGTCTGTGCCTCTGCAAAACCGCCAGCAGCCAAGCACTCTTCTGTCGTATACGATATACGAATGTACGACGTGGGTAAAATAAATAAAATATGTAAAATAACTGCAGAGGATCAGCCTCTGGGCGTCGTTTTCCAATTCTCCAACTGCAACACTGATTTTCCGACGCAAACTCTCTCCACAGAATACTGTCCTATTACCTATTGCTTATCTTCCTACCTTGAACTAGTCCATTTTCTTCACTAATTATATGCGGAGAGCCTCCAAAGACACGGTGATTCTGCCGATCTCCGATACCGCAGCGATCGAAGACAAGACAGGACACCACATAAAGATCAAAGGTGTCATCATCTTATGGCATGATACCTTCGGTTATGGTCACTCTTACAACGACAGACGAACAAGACGTGTTCGAAATATCAGACAAGTCCGACCACTCAAACAGACAGTCCAATGACGAACTGGGAGGCCCATCGTGGCATGTCGCACCCATCGCGCCTTTATCACGACATCTCAGTCCACTGTCTTCAAGCAGTTCATTCGTGTGCCGGTGTTGATCGAGAGACAGGTATCTAACAAAGCTGTCACGGAAGGCAGCAAAGCGTACTGGATGGCGTACTTGGACCTTCGTTCGTATGTCTCCCTTCGACTTCCCATGTCGGAGCCACGGCTCCACCCGACCAAACATTCTACCCAAGTCAAAAGAACCAACGAGTTCTGATTCTTATTCTATGTTTAACCTGGCCCAGTTACTGCTCCAGACCCTGGTCCTCTGCCGAATGTCCTCCGGTTTTGGTCCTGCTGTCCCGGGTTACTCTAGTCTCCACTTGCCACACGGCGGGAATAACCTTCCCGCGGTCTTGTCCCTTGGCCTTGACCAGGTTCAACCTCCAACCTCCACATTGGTACGCTTTTTGTGAAAAAATTCCGGGGCAGAATGGCTTTGCCGCAATGAATTGCAAAGTATATTTGCACAAGATAAACTTCTATCAAGGTTTCATATGCCTTTCTTGTCCCTCTTCACGGCGAAAAGGCTCCGATTCGGCAGTAGGCAAGGTGAATAAGCAGATCGGATCCGAGTAAGAAAGTGCACATGGCTGTTGTAAGTCGTATTTCGCGGCACAACTGTCGTCTTTGGCCTTGGCCGGCCCGACAGCATTACGCCGTACTAAGAAAAGCTCCGCTTCGCGGCCTTAATCGGCACCCTGTGGCCCTCTCCTTCCTGGTCTTCTCCCTTTCTCTTTCCTCTTTGGGATCAACGGTACTGCCTGCTTTCTTTCTGTTTTGCACAATAACAACGCTCCTTCCTGTTTTCCTGTTTATCACCACCTCCTTCCCCTTCCACTCCTTCCGTACATCATTCCTTCCTCTTTTTAATTTTCGCTCCTCCCACTACCCTCTACTTCCTTGCAAATGAAACCAGCCGCAGCCCATCCGATGCCGCCATGAGCTGTTCCGAACCATCTAGAGATGCAGCCACAAACCACGATGTAGCGGCCGGTCAGCTCGACGTCGGCCCACCGCTTCTTGGCACGGTGACCGCGTCCTCTGCAGCCTATCCGAGCAGCCATGTCGACGACAGCAATGCCGCCAACCCCAATGACCCCGAGCAGCTCAGCCGAGTGGTCAGCGGGCCACCCTATAGCGTCTTCACTCCCGGCATGAAGCGCTACATCATCATCATGGTCACCTTTACGAGCTTCATCTCGCCCATGACTGCCAACATTTATTTTCCCGCTCTGGTGCCAATAGCCGTGGACCTCGACGTCTCCATTGGCCTCATCAACCTGACCGTCACCACATTCATGATCTTCCAAGGCATTGCACCAACACTTGTCGGCGACTTCGGCGACATGGCAGGACGACGGCCGGCTTTTGTCATTGCCTTGGCCATCTACCTCGTTGTCAACATCGGCCTCGCGCTGCAAAAGAATTTTGCCGCCCTTTTGGTCTTGCGCATGCTCCAGAGTGCCGGCAGCAGCGGCACCCTAGCATTGGGCTTCGCCGTGGTGGCCGATGTCGCCGTGAGCGCCGAGCGGGGCAAGTACATGGGCATTGTGGGTGCCGGCATCAACGTCGGACCGGCACTGAGCCCCGTGCTTGGCGGTATCTTGGCGCAGTACCTGGGCTGGCGGTCCATCTTTTGGTTTTGCTGCATTGTGACTGCGTGTTTGTTGATTCCTTATATACTGTTGGTGCCGGAAACGGCCCGCAACGTCGTGGGCAACGGCTCCATCCCGCCGCGCTGGATCAACATGACACTGCTCGACTTTATCCGCCAAAGACGCCACCCTGTGCCGCTGGCCGACCGGCCGCAGCCGCCCAAGACCAAAATTCGGTTCCCAAATCCGCTGCGCACGCTCAGTGTGGTGCTCGAAAAGGATCTGTCCCTGATCCTCGCCTACACGGCCATCCTGTATGTCGTGTTCATCATGATTGTTGCCACGCTATCGACCATTTTCACCGACATCTACCATCTCAATGAGCTCCAGATCGGTCTGTGTTACCTGCCATATGGTGTTGGTTGCTGCACGGCATCGATCCTGCAGGGCCATTTGCTCGACTGGAACTACCGCCGCACGGCCCGCAAGATTGGCTTCACAATTGACTACCGCCGCGGCGACGACTTGTCCAAGTTTCCCATTGAACAGGCCCGCCTATACCCCATGGCGCCCATGGTCGCCCTAGGCGTGTGCACGGTCATCGCCTATGGCTGGGTGCTCGAGTACCGCCTGCCACTGGCCGTGCCCCTCGTCCTGATCTTCTTCGTCGGCTTGTTCGTCGTCGGCTCGTTTAGTATTCTCAGCACGCTTATTATGGACCTCTACCCTCAGGCGCCCGCCACGGCCGTGGCCGCGGTCAACCTCGTGCGCTGCCTTTTTGGTGCGGCCGTCATGGTGTTTATCGAGTCCATGATGGTGCGTTTGGGCCGCGGGTGGAACTTTACCTTTTGGGCGCTGCTGGTTGTCGTGACGTCGCCGACCATGCTCATGGTGCTGCGCTGGGGTCCGGGCTGGCGCGAGGCCCGCCGCTTGCGTCTTGCCAAGAAAAGGGCGCAACATGAAGAGGAGCGTGAAGCGAGAGAGCAGGCGGCCGCCGGACAACGACAAGAAGTGCCCGGTGAGGGAAATGAGCACGACAACCACGACAACCATGACGATCGTGACCCTGGTCAACTCGTTAACCCGGACAGCTCAACGAAAAATAACTAACGACAACTGACAAGGTCAGACGGCGGTCAATGCAGACGACTTTGGTTCGGAAAGCGGTAGGGCAACATCCGCCTGTCACGCGTTCGCCCAACGACGACGAGTAATCAGCTGGCAGGGCGTGCCGGTGCTGTCCAAGCCAATGGGCAGATCGCGATACCTGCCGGATGCAAGAAGATTATGCAACTAGCGCAGACCGGTGTGCCGTTACGAAGCAGGGCAACCGACGTTCAACGTCGAGACGCAAAGCAGGCCAAAACGGTATCAAGAGTGTAATACGGGAGCAAGCATCCGTCCGAGTAAAGGACGGATACATTGGACTAGAACGCGCAAGGAAGGAATTGAGAGGGGTGTGCATCTAGCCAGCATTTGATTTCCTTTCACGAATTGTTTATTTTCTACTTCGTATTCCGTCAATAAGACGCGCATTACGTTCGCCGAGTGACATTAGGAGCACTTGCCACACCGCCGGACATCTGCTCGTGGATTTTTGAAATTTTTGCAAGGGCATAACTGTCCATTTGGCTGGGCCGTGACAAGTGTGGTTAAGGGAATCATTGCCGAAAAAGGCGAAGGCGACTGCCAGACGCGACAGGAAAAAGAAAAGAAAACCACTTTAGGGCGCGTCCCAAAAACAACAACGGAAAAGTGCACTTTCATTTTTCTTGCTTCGTTGCCTGGGAAGCGGCGTTTCTCGTCGCCTTTTCCGCCGGCAGCCAATTTTGAACGCGAAAGAGGGTGTGCCAGGAGCAGCCCGGGGTACTTCCGGTTGGACTTTGTTCAGTTCGTGTGCGTTTTCTGGAGCCTCCTCCCACATTTGTTGCATTCCACCTCGCCAACTGGCGGAGGAGGTCGTCGTTCGCATTGTTCGTCGTTCGCTTCGTTCGTGCCGCTTCTTCCTTTTTCTTTCCCGTCGTCAACGAAATGTCATGTGCTATGAATAGTGCGTAAGTGAAACATTTTTGTGGGTGAAGGCTGTTGGCAGCTTTGCAATACGCGCCCTTTTCCCCTTTATTATGCATCATGTCCGATGTGTCTTGAGATAGGTCCTCCAAGCAAGGGATAGTCACTTACTTCTGCGCTGTCTTCCCTTTCCTTCCGTTGACTCGACTACGGCCGATGTTTAAAAGGACAAAAAAAAAGAGAGATGAGAAAGCATAAAAATTAAAGATTTTTTTTCTTTGCATTCGTCACAAGGGACGAATAAAATGTACGTTGCAGCGGACTACGCTGGGAGAAGGGGACAATTTATCCGTGCAGCCCAACATGACCATGAAGAATCCCATCAAGCGTTCGGCTATATCTTTCATTTCATTTTTCGTGAAGTCTTCCATTTCCACCTTGCCGCGGTCGTCTGTTCTCATCGCAGCACCACAAGGTCGGATTCTGACACATAAATCCTCCAACTACAATTACCACTCTTCCACATGGCAGCCTCCAGGTCCTATTCCTCGTGAATATTGCCCACTCGGCCGTCAGCTCCACAATAATGCACGAATCCCACCGACGTGGTGTATACCGTCCTTGCAACCCACCACACTCGGTGACTTGCCCGGAATGGCTTTCACCATTGCCGCCAGCCACGTAGGTCCCTGCCTTTCACCGACCAATGCTATGTTATTTCCTTGGAATCTGAAGACAGAGAATGTTATCTTGCGCCTTGTTTCTAAACCCTATGAGTTGTCTGTATGTATTTGTCGTGAAGTTTACCACAACGAGACCTTGACGGGACGCCAGACCAAAAAGAGACGCTGCTTGACGGGGACGTTGAACCCGTTGATCCCTCCCAAAAAGAGTTGGTTGCCGCATGTCCAAACTGCAAATAGCTTTCGGGAGGCGTAATCATTCCGCGGCTTGGTAGCGAGAGAGCTGCTCTGCAGTAATTCGGTTTCGAGACTCCAGCCCCGGCCGAGACTTCTTTCAGCCAGCGTTACCGGCAAAAAGTCCTGACTTGCCTATCATGCATCACGCCTTTTGGTGCAAAGGTGCTACTCACAGCGCCATCTGGCAACCGAATCGAATTCACACCCCCCCCCCGGCGCGGAACGGTTTATGTACTCATATGCTCACTTACTCATTTACTCTCCTGAACTGCCTGATATCACAACGTATTGGTGCCCTCTTAAACCTTGCTGTGTATTACTCAATTCAGAAGAAAAATCTTACGCTGTCATGTTTCTTCACGCACCTGCGTTTCTTATATACAGTTGAAAACTCTGCTCTAATATGGCCACCAACTTGAGTATAAAAGGAAGGTCCTGTACCCGCAACTCGGCAAGAAATACAGGACCTCTCTTCCTCTCCAGTACCTATGACTACTTGCTTTTCACTCTCTGCCTACATATAAAATAAACCCAGTCTCGCCAGTCCATGTCGTTCCAAAAATCCCACAAAAGGAGTCACTTACCTGAGCAGGATATCAACATGTCTTTCGTGGTAATGGCAATTACCACCCATCCATACGCAAAGTGCTTTGATGCCGGCATGGCACTAACACGGCATCTCTTTATACAGAATAGCATTGGAGCTGGGCAGTCCAACGGCGGAAACCTCGTCGTGACAGGTATATTGCCCCTTGGTGATAATCACTGCCATAGAAGCCACAATCGACCTTGTGTCTCTGACTCTGTTTCTCATATAGATGGCAACGGGTTCAATACCAATCTAATCTACGGCATCGGCAGTCAGTTCATGACGCTACCTTTGGCCACGGCCCGCTGGTCACAGACGCTGCCGGACGTCCTCGATGAGCTGCAGTATCTGACCATGTACGATGCTCATTCGCCCACCTGGACAGTCAAGGTAAACATGGACGCTTTTGCCATGCTCTCTCTGGACGTCGAATTACTAACTATCAGTACAAAGAGCTCCATTTCCACCAGCGACGCTGCGTCAACCACCTCAGCTAGTCACCTTGCTTCTGCTTCTACGCCTGCCACTTCTCTTTCCTCGATGGAAGTAGAGGATGTCCAAATTCCGGATGCCGCAACGGTGGTTCCAGGCTTTGACGGCGACAATGACGGCGGTCCACATACTGGAGGCGGAGAAATGAGCTTCGCCATTTTGCGTATGCTAGCGGAGACCCCTGCCGAGATGCCCTGGCCAGCCGTGTTCATTGAGAGCCCTTTTGATGAGGAATAGTTGCATAGGTGGGGAGAGCACCTAGAACGTGTGCCTCTCCATATAGATCTTTAGGGTATGGTTGGAGGGTTGTTTATTTGCATTTCACGGTTTTTATTTTACAACTTTTCTCGCTTTGCATTTTTTTGCAGTATTACTATTCAGATACAGCACTTGCCAGTCTCGTTTCTTATGCCTCATTCAATCAAAACAGCCCAATACCGTATTCTATCATATTTTGCTCCTATCACAGCAGCTTGCATGGTGATCCCACCCGCCCATCACAGTTACACAGTCGTCATGTGTCAAATTTACAACGAAATATATTGACGGAGCCTAGCCAAACCATTTATAACGTCTATAAGGACTGTGATTAAGCAATAAGATAAAATAGACAGGCGAGAAGAGCCATACAGTGTGGCCAACGCAAACAAAGGGACAACAGGATAACCACAATCTTGCCCTCATAGAGCTGGAACAGCCACCTCCGCCGTGAAACGCGGCACTTCCCATGCCAGCCAGTCCGACCGTGTTGTCGGCAGCAAACCCATACCGTTGATCTTCCACACGCCCAGTGCCAAGGCCACAATCTGCATTGCAACAAACGCCAGCTTCACCTGCAGAATCTGGCCGCGATTGCCGGGCGTCTCGAACCGCTCAAACGTCTGCTGGGTGCTCAAGATGCCCATGATCGGGTTCTTGAAGGCCATAAACACCATCATGATGCTGAAAATCTGCAGCGAGTTGCCGGACATGTACATCATGATGGCCGTCATGGGCAGGTTCTTGATGGGGCCCAGGGCGACCTCCCACGCCTTTTTGACCTTGAGCGTGTCCATCTCCTCGGGTGTCTGTTGCTTCTTGGGGGGCGCGGTGGACGCAACGGCGGCCTTTGTGTCTTTTGCGTCGCGTTTCTATCGTCACCACAAGAGTTAGCAATTGGCGTTCTATGCCATTCTATGCCGTATCGTCCTGTCGCCGGGCGACGACAAACCTTGTTGGATGAAACCGCTTGTGAGGGAAACCCCGGCGGGTCGGCGATGTTGCCGGACTTGGCGCGTGGCGCCGGCGGCGACTGGATGTCAGCTACCCATTGCGGGCGTGCCGTTTTTGAAGTCGTGAGTTCGGACATTGTCGTGTTCTGCCGGATGCGGAGAGAGGAGGATGGCCTGTTCGTGGAAGACGATGTTGAAAGCTTGATGTTGGAGCGTTGTCTGACAAGGCTTGTGGTTGCTGTCGCGGGCCCACTTTTTCCCATTCAGTTGCGTGCTCCTCAACGCGCTAAAGTATTGCAGTGGAAGAATCGGCTTACCAGGCCCAGACAGTGGTGAAGCCCCACTCCCTACCGCCCCTTCCCGGTATGGCAAAAGGGGCATGCGAGAGACGGCTGGGAATTTTAAAACGGAGCAAGAGCAATTAATATTAAATACTGAAATAAAATAAAAAATAGTTGGACCAGGGAAAGAACAGGGCTACCGCCTTCCCTTGCCGACGACGACGACATCTACCCCTGTGCATCTCTTCGTTGCCCAGACTTTCTCCAACGACAAGCCATCGCCAGGCGTCAACACCGCGCCCTGCATCGCTTACGACGCCCTGCAACGCCCGCAGCATCAGTAACCGCCGCCACGCCCGTGCCTGCCGGTTCCTCCTTGCCCGCCGTCGGCCCCGACCGCTCCTCCTCTTCTTCGTCTCCGGACGCGGAGCTCTCTTCATACTCGGGGTGAGTTCGGAGCGTACACTCCTCGCTTCAGCGACCACGCATTGGGTTGGATTGGCTAGGGCCATGGCGCTCTCCGGCTTCGCTCCACCGGTGTGGTGCCGTAGAGCCGTACGATGCGTTGATGTGTCATGTCCGCACGCATGTGGCCGCGCTCTGTTGCTACGTTCAGTTTCTGCAACCTCGCATTATCTGAGCTGCCTGGTCTTTGAGCGCCGGTCGTTGTCGTGCTGGTCACGGCCCCATTGCGGCAAGCTGCATGCTGCATGCTCATTCCGAGCAGCCGCTTCCCCTCCTTGTTCCGGAGCTAACCACCACCAGTTTACCTTCAACCGTTCTTTGTCAAGCTGTCACCGATTGTGTTCCCCTCCTCGTCTCGAAATAGCCTCTTCCCAGCGACCAACCGCCGATCGAGACAACCCCGGCTGCAGAACAGCCAACCATTGTCGGGCTCTCCGCACTTTCGACTGCCCTCCTGACGCGCCCTGGGTTGGTCGTCCCCCCTCTTTTTATTGTGTGGCTTTTGCCTTGCTTGGCCCATCCCGCCAACCAACGGACCAGCCTCGACCCGAGCAGCCGCCCTCCTTTTCTGGACGGCTGGTGCGTATGCGTGCGTCCTGCTGTGCTCACGCGGTCCTATTGCGAAACAAATCCAGAAAAATCTTGGCCCCAAGAGATAACAGTCGACACTATTCTGTCTGCGCAACTTGAGCCTAGCCACAAAGGCCCTCCGATTCCAGCATTCGCACTCACACCATCTGTCACCTGTCAGTCGTTGTCGACTACTGCTGTCGTCATGTCCAGTTCACAGGGCGGAGGTGACTCCAAGCTATTCGCTCGGGTATGTTTGTCTCGTTCCCCATGAATACATTTTGTATTTCCAATTTGCTTCTCCCCTGTCCCTTTGCCTGCATCGCAACCTTTCCCATCATCCAGCTGTCAACCAACAGGATTTTCTCATCCGTCCCCTGCTCTGCCACTGCTGCGCTTCCCCACCTCGTCGTCCGATCCGTCTCCGTAACAACATGTGACGCAACGATGTGACGCCGACTCGGTGTCTGGATATGCTTCATCGTATCTTAGAATGCGATCGTCTTTCCCTCTGTCTCTCTGTCTCTCTCTCACTTTATGCTAGCCAAAGCTATACACAATCTCTCCACTTCATGTTTTCCATTTATCGTCGTCACTCCCGTGATATTCCACTCGGTATATCCCTCTTATCGTCCACACCAGTGTGCTTTATGTGTATATACACATCGCCGTTTGTTGTGTACCTCGCGTCCCATCGTCTCCACATCTTCAGCCTCGCATAGCATTCGTTTCCCATGCCTTCCCCCCCACCGTCGCCACGATGTTTATGGCATACCTTCCTCCACCCTATTACTCACGCGCGCTCACTATGCAGGGCAAAGTCGCTGAGCTGCGCCTCGAGCTCAACAGCGGCGGCAAGAAGGACAAGAACTTTGCCGCCAAGAAGATTGCCCTCAAGAAGATTGTCGCCAACATGACTATGAGCAACAACGACATGGTCGCCCTCTTTCCGGACATCATCGCCTGCATGCACATTCAGAGCATCGAGATCAAGAAGATGTAAGGTGGTGGCACATGTGCCAAATGCTTTCCCAAGTATCCCCTTGTCTGCACTGTCTAACTGTTGTGTGATCTCTCCCAGGTGCTTCCTCTTCCTCGTCAACTACGCAAGAATGCGCCCCGAAATCGCGATCAAGGCGATCCCTGTGCTCGAAAACGTATTACTTCCGATCCCCTATTCTCCCGTTCCCCCAACGCCTTTGTAACGCAACGCCACTAACGGCCGCACGAATAGGACATGGAGAATAATAATCCCCTCGTACGAGCCCTTGCGCTTCGAACAATGTCGTACATTCATGTGCGAGAGTTTGTTGAGGCCACTGTCCCAATCGTCAAGGCCCTCCTTCGCGACTCTGATCCGTACGTGCGGAAGACGGCAGCGTATTGCGTTGCCAAGCTGTACGACCACGACAAGCACATGGTAGAGGGTTCTGACCTCATTGACCGTCTCAACTCTCTGCTCCGCGACGACAACCCGACCGTTGTGGCCAGCGCCTTGGCCGGTTTGATGGACATTTGGGAGCGTAGCGATGCGATCAAGCTCACCATCGACTACCACAACGCCTCCAAAATGGTGGCCATCCTTCCCGACTGCTCTGAGTATGTATCGGGTAGTCCCATGATCTTAATCTTTGCCCACCAACACGCCTCCTACTAACGTCTATGGCTTATAGATGGGGCCAGACATACATTCTTGAAGCACTCATGTCCTACACGCCACAAGAATCGACCGAGGCTGCTCTCCTGGCAGAGCGCATCTCCCCACGGCTGTCGCACTCCAACTCGGCTGTCGTCCTTACCTGCATCCGCGTTATTCTGTACTTGATGAACTACATTTCCGATCAGAAGCAAATCACCGCCCTCTGCAAGAAGCTGTCACCACCGCTCGTCACGCTGCTGGCCAAGGGCCCTGAGGTCCAGTACCTAGTGCTGCGGAATGCCCTACTGATCCTGCAACGGCGGCCTGAAGTGCTGCGCAACGACATCCGCGTCTTTTTTTGCAAATACAACGACCCCATCTACGTCAAGGTGACTAAGCTCGAGCTCATTTTCATGCTTGCCAACGAGAAGAACATCGACGAGGTCCTCACCGAGCTGCGCGAGTATGCCACCGAGATCGATGTCCATTTTGTCCGCAAGGCGGTGCGCGCCATTGGTAAGCTGGCCATCAAAATCGAGCCTGCTGCCCGCCGCTGCATCAACGTCCTTCTCGACCTTGTCGCCACCAAGGTCACATACATTGTGCAGGAGGCCACCGTCGTCATTCGCAACATATTCCGCAAGTACCCCAACCAGTATGAGTCCATCATCGGCACCCTTTGCGAGAACCTTGATTCGCTGGACGAGCCCGAGGCCAAGGCCGCCATGGTCTGGGTCATCGGCCAGTACGCCAGCCGCATCGAGAACGCCGACGTGCTGCTCGAAGACTTTTTGTTCTCTTTTGCCGAAGAGCCCGTCGAGGTGCAGCTTGCTCTGCTGACAGCCACGGTCAAGTTGTTCATTCAACGGCCGACCAAGGGCCAGGAGCTGGTCCCCCGTGTTCTCAAGTGGGCCACCGAAGAGACGGACAACCCGGACCTGCGCGACCGTGCATACATGTACTGGCGCCTGCTGTCGACGGATATTGAGGCGGCCAAGCAGATTATCATGGGCGAAAAGCCAGCCATCACGGCCGAGTCGGAGCGGCTGGACCCGCAGACGCTCGAAGAGATGTGCCTCAACGTAGGCACCCTCGCCACAGTCTACCTGAAGCCCGTCCAAACCGTTTTCCGGTCAGCACGGCCACGCCGCCTCATCGAGTCGCCCGCGTTGCAGCGCCCGGTCAACCCCCAGTCTGCCAACGCATCCCTGCCCCTACCACCATCACAGCAGCAGCAGCAGCTCTTGCAGCAACAGCAGAGGCTCCAGCAGCTGCAGCAGCAACAACAACAGCAGCAGCAGCAGGCGCTTCTACAGCAGCAGCAGCAAATGCAGTTCCAGCAACAGCAACCTGGGCAGGCGGCCGGTGATCTTCTGTACATTGATACAAACAAGAGCCTGTCTATGCTCGGCCACGGCGGACAGCCGTCAGACATTGACTTGCGCAGCCGTGAGCCGACCGCGGCCAATAGCAACGGTCACCTCAACAGCAACGGCTTTGCTAGCCCGCAGTCGGCCGTAGACGAGGCCGACGCCTACTTTGCTCAGATGCGCATCCAGGAACCCACTGTGGTGGCGCCCGACTCGTTTGGTGGGGGTGACGGTGGTACCCCTGGCTACTTGGTAAACCAGTACGCCGCACAGACGGCATATCACCCGACGCAAGGGAACAATGATTTGTTGATGTAGGATGGTGGAGTGGCTAAAATATAGTAGTTGGGAAAGTTCATATCACTTCATGTTTTTGCCTTCCCCGCAGATGCAGCGTTATTGTATGTAATTTTACATTTTGTTTCCCATCTTTTAATTCTGGTAAGTATTGTTTATCGTGTACATAGAGAGAGGGTGTTTCACTACTTGGCGAGACAACAAGTAAAAACAGACAGAATCGAGTATCAATGGCAGCATTTGTTCGTACGAGAAGAGTTTGGCATGATGCAAAAGTTAAATTCTATGAAAGTGTACGCTCGCGGTTACATGATAAAAGAGATAGCCCTCCTTTTTCCTTCTGCTTCCTATTGCAATGTCTTCTTGGCTGCACATGCGTCGTATGCACCATAATTCTCAAACGTAAATCTTCGATAAGCTCGATACCCCCAATTTTCTCAGTATTTCGGTTCCACCACCTCCATCAGTCTCCCTTACTGCTCCTCATTGTCCCACAATCGCATTCCCCGTTTCCCCGCGAATAGGACGAGAAGAATCATAATGTTCTTCTCCGTCGTAACTCTACCCTTAGTTGACCGTAGCGAACATGGCCCACAGAGCGACAGTGCCCAGCATGACCCCGGTCATGATCTCAGGCACGCCTCGTCCAGCGCTGGAGTTGACAGTGGCAGTCGGCTTGGCGGAGTGCGAAGCCGTCTCGCTCTCAGCAGAGACAGTTAGGGTCGTCGAGGCCGAGGTCGACAAAGCCGCGGACGAGGCCACCGATGAAGCTGCAAACGAGGCAGTCATCGTGTTCAATGTACCGTTGCCGCTGCTCTGAGTCAGAGAAGGTCTGCTGCCTGACTGGCTGGACGAGGTGGATGGTGACGTGGGAGGCAGGCCCGATGCATACGTCATACCAGAAGTCCCAAAGACGGTCGTGGTAGATGTGGCGCTCACCGTCGTAGTCGAGGAACCAGTTGTGGACGTCGACGGGTTGCCATAGCCTCCATAGATAGTCACGGTGGTCATGTCGCGCTTCGCAAGCTTCATATCAACGGGGATGCCAGGGGTCGTAGCGGCCAGGGGAGAAACGGTGTTAGTGGTAGTGCTGTAGCTGGTGAGAGTCTCAAAGTAGGAGACGGTGATATCCTCGGTGTAAGTCGACACCGAAGTTTGAACATTGGTCACGGTCTCAACAGAAGTGACAGTCACAATTTTCTTGACAGGCTCGGTCACCGTGGCAGTCTCAGTAACAGTAGCGGTGGCGATGCCAGCTTCAGCTACGGCGAGGGCAATGTCCGTCGCCTCCATGAATTCTTCCCAGGGTTTGCTCGTGTCCGGACGAAGGAGGGTGTACGTGATGTGGCCAAGCGTGCGGGTAATCAAGTCGCTAGGGCGCAGAGTGTTAACAGCATTCGTCGTGACGGATTGGCATCAAATCGTTGTCACTTACAGACCGACGGTACAGTCACCGCCATCGTCAGCCTTGACACGACCAACAGCTAGGAGAGCCAAGGCCCCCAGCTTCGCCACCTTGATGATAAACATGGTGGTCAAGATGGATGGTTGATTTCGTATCTATGATTTGGATTTTGTAGTCAGCAACCAAGACGTCACGAGGTGTGATGAGAGTATTTTCAAATCGTGGTGATGGGTTTGATGCAGGCCAGGGCTAGGCTTCTGAATTCTAACTCACCAGCTGTTGATGTTTGTTTGTATTGGAGACGGTGACACCTCTTGATAAGGGAGGAATACTGTAATGTCCAAATAAGGTCCGCGTATAAGAGCGCTAGATGTCGAGCAAGATGTCGAGCGATTGTTGACAGAAAGGAGAAATCCAGAAGAGGAGAGAAAGAGAAAAGAAGAAGAGGAAACTATTTTTTTGCACGGCCAGAAATTTAAATACTTGAATAGTGTAATTTTTGCGTTTGCGAGAGCAGCAACGCCTGCGTCCACTTGTGAGGAAGGTGCGATGGGCAGGAAGTCGAGGCCTGCCATTGCCACCGAAACAGAAGGAGCGATGCTGTGAATGCGGTTTCCGCTTAGGTTGTCCCGGACAATGTACCTGCTGTACATCATTTTAGTATGAGCATACTTTTGGTCGCCACGTATCGATATCTTCAAAAATAGCGAGTCTGCGGAGAGAGGATACATTCATCGTGATACAAACAGTGGTGGATGGCGAACCTCAATCGCTAGTTACAATTAAAGTTTACAAATACAACGGTCACTTTTGCTGTATTTCTTTAACTACGCACAAGACTCTCTCTCTCGTTTAATTTTCTGTGAGCGCTTTATAGAATTTAATTTATTTTGAGTTCTGTTTGAAACTGTTACAGATAACATCAAGTAAATACACGAAGACTAAATGAATACCTAAGGCATCCTTGATATATCTTCTTCCAACGTGAATTATACATTGCTAATTTCGCAAACACCAATAATGGATTTTAAATTTATTATGAATAGATATATGAATATGCACGCGCATATTCATCTTGCATTTTTTTAAGTATCAAAGTTGATACACTGTCAACAAATTGAACCACATGTGAGTATGAACAAGATGCACAGGGAACAAACGGCTGGTCATGTCATTGGACTGGTCTTTAGAGTTAAGCATCGAACTACAGCATGAAGGCTTCAGATAAGTATTTTTCAGAACGGTGAAGCGGTGTATGACTACCCTGGTTTAGTCCACGCGGCTGAGTCTATGTGCAGCTCATTCGAGCTGGTAGGTATGGTGACCAATTTGATTAGCTTTGCAGGGCATGTTGTAGTCATTTCCATATGCTCCTGGGGCCGCATCTGACCAGGCCGCCGTGCAGACCAAACATGGAGACAAGAGAGAAATAGAGAAGCATTCTGCCAGCTGTTGATGTGGGGTGGTGACAATAACGCGCGATATCACGCAAGCAGCTGGAAGGATGAAAAGGGTCGTGTGATGTCTCGAGGGCGAGTAGACGACATAATTGGCGACATTCCTATCCGCAACACCGTTAAAACTAGACGAGGAAATAAACTTACAAAGATAAGAGCCAGATACCGTTTGCAGTTAAGAAATCCGACTCAGAATGTATATCTTGGTGCCATTATCTCCGTCAAACGTGCACGACGTTCATCAACGGCCGTTTATCTAGGTAGGCATAGGTATCCAACTACAGTACTTCCCCGGATCCCAGCAACTGATAAGCCCCAAGAAATTGTGGACCTAAGTCTTGTGTTCTGTCAATAGGGTCGTCGAGTGGCCTAGCAAGCCAAGGGCCTAGCACGAATAGCAGTCTGAAAATGGAATAGGGAGAGCGGCTTGTCCTGCCGCCGGCTGCGAAGATAGAGACGGCGTTCCATAATGACTCTGCCGATTAGCATTCCGAAGCCGCCCAGGTGGCTGTCGCAGTGCCCATGCAAGGTTTGATGTGGTGGACAGCGCCGGTGGGGAGCATTCGTGATTCAGCAAGCGAAGACAAAAGTAGTAACGTCAAGATATGAAAAGCGAAAATAGAAAATAGAAAAAAGCAGAAGATCGCAAACCGAACAAACCAAAGGACGTCTTCCCGGAGACTGTTCAACACGAGAAGTGCTGCGACATACGGAGCAATTCTCCGTAGAACTTGTCCATCTCACAATATACGTCATAGGCGTGGCCTGTCGGGATGGCCAGCAAGACTGATCGTCAGCACAAACCACACTCACGGGGCGGCCGTCCGGTGATTCGATGTGCGATGCCGTATCCGGTAGGCTGTGTGTGTGGAAATATCGCGCCCGGGCTTTGGTAACGATTTGCGCGCCCATGACAAATAGGAGAGGCAGTAAATACAAGGTGAGAAAACAGGAGGAAGCCAGCCAGAGTAAAAGGGTGTCAGCGGGACAGTAGGGTTTGCAAATCCTGCATAGTGCTGCGCAGTTTGCCTCTTGGCTGGGAGGGCAAAGCCGGGATTCCGGTGGCCTGCTTGAGTGTGCCCAGATGATCGATACTGTACAAAAATGGAAGGCGCAACGCAGTGCAGATTCGATTTGTTGCCAAATGCCGGAGAAGCACAATACAGACGGAAAGCCAAGAAACCACAAACACGAACATCCTCTCACAGAAGTGGCAAAAGCGACGTGCTGCCTCTCACAACAACGACGCGGCAGCGGGCGCAGCGTTGCCATTGAACAGTCATCCATTTACGGAGGCTGCATAGAGAAAGCGAAACAAAGAAAATTCCCATCTGACAGCGTCTATGCATCAACGCCCTTCACGAACGATGCTTTCAGCGCTCATTAAACTGAGTCAGGCCACCGTGCTTGCACAGTGCTAATAAACATGCCCGCCGTTCCTGCCTTGCGTTGTGAGAGTGTTGGGTGTAAGTGTCGCCTGTTCCTTCCGTTCGCCACAACCAGTACAGTTCGAGCATCGCCAATCGAAAACAAGTCCTCTGCACCTTCCCAGCAATCGCGAAATCGCACATAAAGGGTACAAGTGTACGACGCACCTTCTTTTACAGCCGTCGTTTGTTTGTTTTTGCTTGTACTCCGGGCACTGCCTGTGTCCATATGCTCCTTCCCTGTCTCTTCGGCATAATTGTCTGTTGTCTATAGTTGAAAGCACAGTCCGACACCTCATTTCATCGAATAGCGCTAGCTGGGTGCCTGTATCGTTCATCCTAGGGCTGATTGTCGCTGGCATGCCCCTGTAGCGCCCCTGTAGCCTCGCCCCGACTATGGCCTTGATAGGTGCCAGGCCTTCCGGACCGCTCGGCCAGGCCTCGGGCGTTGTGATGATGTTGCCAGTCAATGCCCGGGAATCTGCCAACAGGCTACACAGTGTGCAGTATTGCCCTGTACACTCTCCCCATTCTTCGCTCCTTCCCTCCACGGCGAACCACTAGTTGTCATTGTTTCTTCTTTCCGTTAGCCGGTTTCTGTTGTCCTTTCCCTGGTCTCTTTCTGGACTCGCTTGCCTCCCCATCCATTCATTCCCTTCCTTCCCCCAATTTCGAGGAGAAACAGACGGCACCGACGCAACCTCCTCCTGTTAAGAAACTTTTTTCTACCAT